TTGGACAGGTATTGGGGGGATTGGTTTTGTTGGCCTGGGATGGTAGCAGGAAGATGGGCTTAGTGGGTTCAGGCTGGTAGTGGCGGGATGGGCTTAGTGGATTTGGGCTGATAGGGAAAGCATGGGCTTAGCGGGTTCGGCTTCGGGCTGGTAGGGGTGGGATGGATTTAGTGGGCTCGGGCTGGCAATGGGGAATGGATTTAGTGGGCTCGGGCTGGTACTCTGGGGATAAAAAAAATAGCTTCCATTCAGTTTTCCACTTTCTCTATGATCTACTAGCCCCCACAAGCTTCGTCTGGCTTCAAGTTTGGCACTATTCTGCGGCTTCCCACGGGCTACAGCCGCTAGAGTAGAGACAGCCCGTAGGGGGGCTGTTGGGCTCTACGAATTGACGACGACAAGAGGCGAGCGCCGGCGGGGGCCGACTCAGGTGCGTCGACTCATGGCCAGGGCATTGCGTTGCCTTCGGTTTTTTTATGGGATTGCCAGGGGGGTCATGCAAATTCTTAAGAATGTGCAAGACCCCCATGGCAGTCTAACAAAAAAACCAGAAGAGAGCCACCAGACACGCGCAAGAATCTGCAAGCCCCAGCGCGCGCAAGTAGCGCCTCGCGGTGGCGCCAGGCAAGACCGAGGGGTGGCCTTGACGGGTCAAACAAGAAAAAGCAACGCGTGGCCGCGCTGCTTGGGTCTCTCTACGCGTTTACACCTGGCGGGGCTCCTTCTTTGTTTCGTCAGGTTTCTCATTCTCTCGTCGGAAACAGGCGGGCGCACTTCGCGGGGGCGTGAGGTGTCGCGTTTCGAGCTGTGGCTGGCAGACGCTTCTCGTCTGGCTGACGTCTTTAGCCAGGATGGAGGCGGAGGCTTTTCATCAGGCTGATGCTGTTCGTCAGACCAGCGCTCTGCGCTGGGCTGGCGGCTTTCGTCGGGCAGGCTGGCGCCTTTCGGCAGACGTATTAGGCCAGGCTGAGGCTTTTCGTCAGGGCAACGCTTCTCGGCCGGCTGCCGCCTTTCGTCAGACTGAAGCGCTTCGTCTGGCTGACATTCTTCGCTGGGCCAAGGCTCCCGCCTTTGGTCAGGTTGATGGCTTGCTTCTGCTTGGCGCCGTTCGTCAGGCTGACGCACGGAGCAGCCAGGTGACGCCCTTCGCCTTCGCCAGACCGGCGCACTGCTTCGCCAGGCGTCTGCCTTGCGTCGGAACAGGCTGAGCGGGGCTGACCTTCGGGCTGCGGATGTCTTTCGTGAGATTGATTCTGTTCGTCGGACTGACGTCTTTCGCCAGAATGGCCGCGTTCGTCGGGTTGGCGTCCTTTGTCAAAGGTCTTCGCTATCTTCAGGGGCCTTTCGCCACAGGTCTGGTGTCAGTTTTTCTGGCAGAGGTCGCTCGCCTGATGTCTGTCGTCGTGGGTCTCTTGTCGGAGGTCTTTGGTCTAAAGTTCTCGGGTCCAGGGGTCTTTGATCATCCAGAGGTCTTTGGTCCGAAGGTCTTTGGTCCAAGCGCGGAGGCCTTTGGCCCAAAGGAGAGAGAGAGAAAGAGGAACTTCCCCGACCTGGGGAGGGCGGTCGCCTGGCCCCGACCTGCTGGCGCTTCGGGTGTGGAGGGTTCCCTCCGAGCACCACGCGGCCAGCCCCTGGCCCTGAGGCCTAGCGAATTTGCCCAAGTGGCGCCCCTTGTGTTTATGCATCACCAGACCCGGCGACTCAGCAGGCGAGTGCCGTCCAGTTATGGCCAAGGCTTTGAGTCACAAAATAGACCGCGCGGGCGCGGTGCCGTCAGCTCCTCGGAGGGCTCCCCGGGGTCTCATCGCCCTGCACTGTCTGGCGCAGCGCGGTCCCCGTGTGGTGTTTTTCTCCCGTGGGTGTGGGGCGGCGACCGGCTTGAAGCCCACCTCCTTGCCAGTCGAGTCTCTTCCAGGATTCGAACCAGAGACCCTCCGGAGCGGAGTGCAAGCATTTGCCCACTGGGCCAATCTGGCAGGCCCAGAGGTCTTGGGCCCAAAGGTCTTAGGCCCGCGGGTCTTTGGTCCCAAGGTCTTTGGTCCAAAGGTCTTCGGTCCAAAGGTCATCTTCGGTCCAAAGGTCTTCGGTCCAAAGGTCTTCGGTCCAAGGGTCTTCGGTCCAAAGGTCTTCGGCCCAAAGGTCTTCGGCCCAAAGGTCTTCGGCCCAAAGGTCTTCGGCCCAAAGGTCTTCGGCCCAAAGGTCTTCGGTCCAAAGGTCTTTTATCCAAAGGTCTTCTGTCCAAAGGTCTTCTGTCCAAAGGTCTTCGGTCCAAAGGTCTTCGGTCCAAAGGTCTTCGGTCCAAAGGTCTTCGGTCCAAAGGTCTTCGGTCCAACGGTCTTCGGTCCAAAGGTCTTCGGTCCAAAGGTCTTCGGTCCAAAGGTCTTCGGTCCAAAGGTCTTCGGTCCAAAGGTCTTCGGCCCAAAGGTCTTCGGTCCAAAGGTCTTCGGTCCAAAGGTCTTCGGTCCAAAGGTCTTCGGCCCAATGGTCTTCGGCCCAATGGTCTTCGGTCCAAAGGTCTTCGGCCCAAAGGTCTTCGGTCCAAATGTCTAGTCTTCGGTCCAAAGGTCTCTGGCCCCAAGGTAGTTGGTCTGGGGTCTTTGCTCTTTCGGCGGGGGGTCTTTCGTCAACTGTTTCTTTCCGAACTTCTCTCCCCAGCTTGCGCCCTTACCCCCGTCGAGCATTTTTCTGGCTTGTTCTTTTCTGGTAGTCTGCCACGGGGCCGCAACGTATATCCCAACAAGAAAACGGCTGGAGGCTCTCGGGCTTTAGAGCGGGGGGAAAGGGCCGGGGGCTATGGGCAATAGCCTCGCGGAAGAAGCTGACTAATCTCCACCTCCAGTGGGGAAGGCGGGGAGTTTTGTGGCGGTGATTAGTATACAGGTCAATAATATAGATCAATAGTATACATTTTTTTTGTGATGTTTTATTTTTACTATCAACTTATGATATATGATAGATTAATAAGTTAGCTTAGTAATATTTGTCCTTGCAATGTTTGAGCACTAGCAACTTATAAATATATAATAGTTTGCCTTTAGTTCTTTCGCTACTCCTTCTTCTGCTTCTTGTAGGTGAATCTAAATCTATTCTAAGAACTTGAGCTTTCTTATTTCAAATTATTTCATTTGCTTTCTTCTAAGGCAGCTGCAGGAGATCGTAGCACCGGAAGCAGCTATCGGGCTTCTTATCCCGATATCAGTGTTGACTCGCTTTTGACACCAATGAAGCTTCGAATTGCGGAATTCGAAGGCGCCCGTGAAGAGACTGCGGAAATGGAGTTCCCAGATGAGCCGTTTCAGTTGGTCTTTGGCAACGGGCGCGCAAAAGTCGAAAAACAGTCAAGAAATTACGAGAAAATAATTAATGGGATATCATTTAAAGATGTTCTTCTTATCAATAAAGTTGTTTAGAATTACTTATATACATAGTTTCATCAAAATAGTGGTACGACTAGTTATCGTCCTCAGTTGCGGAGCGATGAATCGTGATAACGCCAAGACTACAGTTACGGGATTCATTTGGGGGATCGATCCACGTGAGATGGAGTCAGATTGATTACAATGAACCTCTAAAAATCTTCAACAGGTCCTCGTACTCAACATTTGAGGAATCACTCCAGTATTGGTCGAAGAAGCAACGAGGACGGAACCCGAGATCCAGTTCGTCTTGCTCTGGACAAGTTACGAACATACTTAGATCATAGTACTTAAGCATATTTATAGAGTTGCAGCATATTGCTCGTTTTATCACTTGTATGACAAAACAGTGCGTGCGGCACCCCTAAGAGCTGCTCCTGGTGTAAAGATAATATTGAGCAGGACACATTGACCTTACCAGGAACAGTATTCGTATTATAGGTGGTGACGCCAGAACTTTGTCGGAGGAGGTCCCCTAAGTTTTGACGCAGAAGCTATATTCCAAAGCGAGCCTGTGAAAATAGATTTAAGGCCAATGTTTGCACCACGTGTATTGTGCTGCTATGGCGGGTCCGTGGCTGTGGAAGCTTCTACGAGAAGCACATCCTTCCTGCAGCATCCGCCTTCTGCCGAGCCGCGTTCGACTTCTGACGAACATGCCAACCAAGTCCAAAACGACACGAACACAGACGAAATCAACCAACACGAACACAGACAACGACAGAATTTGCTACTACATCAAGATCAACCTGCTCCCAGCGACGAACCTGGTGTAACATGTAGTAGAACACGAACAACCACTTGTAGCACTTCTAATTGTACTTCGACTACAAGCAGTTCCGGTTGTGGAAAAGAACAAGCACCACCAGATCCGACAAATTATGTTGCCTATGTTGCCATTCCGAATGACTCGCCTTTCGCTGTCGCTGTGGATGCCTACCCCTACTCCGCACAAGCGTCCATGGATACGCTGCGCCATGCGCTCATGGCCTCGCCAGTCTTATCGTGTACAGCGTCTTTGTCGGAATCAGAAATGAAAACAACTCCGGAAAAAGAAGTTCTTTGGTTTACTCCTCAAGAAAAAGGAGACAAAAACGAAAAGGACGACGACCGCGGCCGTATCACGACTTCGACGAGTGTCTATCTTTACGCTCAGTGAAAAATGTAGTGATGTAGGAATGGGCCTCCTTTTCCCTCGTGCTATAGATTTAAGTAACGTAAATGGCCATGATAGATAGGAAGTACTTCTATCAACTTCACTCTACCACAACATTTTTACGAGAAAAGGGGTAGCTGCAGACGATGCGCCAATTTCACAATTTCCTGACTCCTAAATTCTAAGATGAGAAGCGCGCGTCTCGTGATGGTCTACCCGAGGCCTACGACCTTCAAGGACGCGCTGTATCCTTCCAGCCTCTCTTGCCGTTTGGAAATATGGTAGGATCCGGTCCTTACTTGGTGAAGACTACAACTTCTACAGATTAAGGCTTCCACTTATCCATCTTCGGAAGCATCTCAGGCACGTTCTCAAGGGGGGCCGGTCTTGGGATGCATCTTCGGACGGATAAGGGTGAGCTCCAAAGAGCGACAGAGCTTACAACTTCAACTTTATTATCTCCTGCCCAAATAACAATAAGTGTAAGTGGTGGTGCCAAGAAGGCCAACAGTACTATACGCAGCGAAGAAGATCTTGATGGCTTTACCGAAGAACCTTTCATGCCTCCATGTGGAAACTTCAACATGCCACTTTTCAGGACCTCTGTGGCCACAGGTGGGAACACGACTGCAGGAGATAGTTCTTCTATAGCAGAGAGTGCGGCAAGTGTGGACGACTTGGGAAGTATCCATTCTGTCTATGTTGACACACGGGGAGGCTTCTCATCCACTTCTGTCTATGTTGACCCCATTGAGATGCGAGCACAGGATGCCAATGCTCAAGAATGTCAACTCATCCTGCCGCACGTCAAGAGCAATGTGACGATGGCTGACTGGCATCAGCTAAGCCTAAAAAAAGTGAACAAGAAGACCTTCTGCAGCAAGTCAGTGACGTCGTCAGTGGAAGGTTGTAGGCACGATGCAACCTGGAGCTTCCCTCAGGCGACTGCAGCCCTTGTCCAGGAAATGACGTGCAAGCCTTGGCGGTTCGAGTTACTTCAAAATCTTTGCACCTGGAAATTATGGCAGCTGCTCTTCATCATGATGGTAATTTTCATTTCACTTCTGAAAGCTCGACTTCATTCTCTGTTTACAACTACGGCTACTCACTGAATGTCATTCTCTTTCTGTTCTTTACAACTACTTACTTTCGATCTTTCTGTGCGAAATCGAGGAATTTATGCGGAAAGAAATCGAAATGAATCATCCTGACGGAGCTCTTCTAACCAAGAGTAGAGGTCGTAAGCACTTCTCTATGAAAAAGTTTCTGCGACGAAAGCACGTGCGGTCTATCAGCGGAAGTTTCTGTGTACAGCTGGCTCACCCCCGCTCCTTGCCTCCAACTTGTTCTAGTAATAGAGAAGATGCTTCTACCTCATCCAGTGGAGAATCGACAGTTCAAAATTTAAAAGGATTCTTTTCAAAAGGAAGGGACGATGTGGTAGTCCTAAATACCAAGGATACTACGAGTTCACAATCAAGATCTACCAAGTTGTTCGATGAAATACCGATAAAGCCACTGTCGTCGGACCTGCCCGACACTGATGAAGTTGATGACGTTGAGGACACGCCATTTAATCTTTTTGCATGTAGTCAGCGGCCGGCCCTCGAGCAAGGGAGAGCAGTTCATGCACAACAACTTCTAGCGGATAAGAACTATTTTCTTGGAGATGTTGAACAAGATACTCTTTGTGGACGTGGAGGCTCTTCATTTTCTTGTAACAGTAGTACAGCAACATCGACGCGACAGGATCAGGAACTACGCGCAAGGGCGGAACTGCCAACAGACTCCTGTGGTTCTCAAACTTTGCAAAGTCATGACGACTTTCTTGACGTTCAGGACATAAGTCTTCTCGAAGAAACTGAAGTTAAGGTTATGGTCGTCTTTTCTCCATCTTTCTCGGCATCTCGGTACCCTCTTGCTGTGTATCTATTCTCATGAAATACAAGGCAAAAGGGGACAAGATGAGGGGGCCGCGATGCATTTCCGAGCACGCTAATAAGGCGATCGAAGTGGCTCGGCTAGGAGCCCCAGGGATCAAAGCTGCTCTGTCGGCGTCGTGCTCCGGCACTGCGCCACCACCCAGAACCGTAAGGGGCCAGGATTTCGAGGAAGGACGAACGACATCAAAGGCCAAAGGTGTTCTGTGGAAGAATGAAGACCTATTTGCTCCTGGAGGGGGCACAGAATCGAAAACAGAAAATTTTGTCCTTGGGAGGAAGGGCTCGCGCTGGGAGAGCTATGTCATAGAAGCTGCAGATGGATTACTAGGAGACCGGATCTACACGGAGGACCGGGCTAAAAGCTTCTGTTCTCATTTGGCGACCGAGACTCTGCTCAATGGCCGACGTACTTGCATCAGTGATGCGCCTGACTCGCCACGCTTCTCGTCGTACGTCTACGGGGGAGAGATGGATGTTGATCAGGATCATAAAACGTACGTCTCCGAACAGGGGAACCTCATCCCTATTCCAACAACGATTTCAACGTGCACCGCGAGAACCGCTCACAGCACCAAAACAAAGGCAATGACCGTCAATGACCTACTAGGAGAACGGGCTGACGACGAGGCTGAGAACGGGGACGACGAGGAGGAGGCAGAAGATGACGACAACAATAATATGGGGTCTGTCTTGTCGGTCAGAAGTATTCATTTCAATGAACCTGGTGACGACGGCCCAGACCCTTCGCCTGAGTTCGAGGATTTAGATCCGGATCCCAAGCGCAGTTTGTCAATTCCAAGCAGGCCTTTGGAAGGTAATCCTTCGGTGTCTGGCACAGCAGTCACAGCGCACACTAATGGAGAAGAAATGAACTTACAGGCAGCTGCTTCTGGCTCCTCGAGCGCCAGCGTAGTCATGCCACCATTAACTACGTACCGAAGCGACTATAGAAATGTCTCATCTTCAGATGATCAGAAAGCTTTGCATTACATCGATGCCTCCAAAATTGTGATTGACACTTCCTCTTCTGCTTCTGGCGTAGAGCCCCCAGTGAATGTGCTCCCTTTGGTTGCGACTCTCGGCGTTGCCGACACAGCGAATTTTTGGCCTTATGATCAGGCCTCTGCGTCTTGGCCGTGCTCCTCTTCCTCGCACTATGGATCCTCGACAGACGCTTATTTGCAGATGGAAAGCTGCGGTAGAGGCAGTGGCGGCGATTTTGCGTCAGGGCGTTCCGGTTCCTCCCGTTTTGGAGCGAGCTTTTCTGGTGCTTCCCGTCCGATCACGAATGGTTGTAAAGCACGAAACGCTTACGCCATCAAAAGTCCAGCAAGGCCTATGCCCTCGGTGACGAATGACCTTCACAACTCACTACAGAATCATCTTCCGGCTCTTTTGCAACCATGCAAGGAAGCAGACACGATATTAGAACAAGATATTGATAATCCGGTAACAGCTTTAAGTTTAACGCTGGAAATTTTGAAGCAGGCCACTGCTGCTGAGAGGCGGGGGGAACAAATGCGCGCTCGCGAGTCGGGACGCGAGAGACCGCGAAGGGATAAATGGATGAACAAGAAAAAGGCGATGAGAAGATATAACACGCTGACGCACTCAATTACGACCAGCCCGCAAATTGTAGAGAGCACGCAAAATGTGCACGACAAGCTCCATGACACTCTGGCCGCGGTGACTGAAACTGCGTATTGGTCGCGTATGGGCGCGGATATGATAGAAATCAATTCCCACTCGTCTACCGGCACGGCTAGTTCGAACGGTGCTTCCGAAAAGGACGAGGGCTCCCATTCGAGGCATCCTGTCACAAAAGGAGCCGCTTATACGACGCAGCGAGAGGTTGTTCTTGCCTCGGCGACTGGTGTGGAGCAGGCAAATACTGCTGGAGAATTTGAAGGTCCATCTGTACCTGCGGCATCTCCAGCGGGAAGAGACCGCTCCCAACAGGATAAAAGAGCAGCTAAATGCACAAGTGCTTTTGCTCCGGTGCCCGCTTCACAAGAGCATCGATACGATTCCACAGGAAGAGGAGTTTTTTCGTCATCACGACGTGGAAAGCACCGCGACTCGCGAAATGATGGACAGCCATCAGCGGCCTCGTCGGGATTCACACCTTGGCCGGTTCCAAAGGAAGAGCACGACCGAAGCAACGCCATGCTTTTTGGTTGCGGGTCAAGAACGAACGTTTCGGCAAAAGCAGAGATGGCAGCCGCAAAATTTCCTAAGGATACTAGCTACGTGTCAAAGGTTTCCTTTTGTCAGGCCTTGATGGGGATTCAGGCCCCGACGAAAAGCCCCCTTCAGCAGCGGCCGCCCAACATCTTGTGGGGTGAAGGTGCGCAGGGGCAGACTTCCGCATCCGCAAATTTTTCGATAATGGCGCCGTCCACGATTTTTCGCTTCGGAGAAAATAACTCGAGCAACGAAGCCGCGGCTGACGCAGCCGCAGCTTGGCGGGTGACTTCTCCGCACGGATCGCTCTCTGAAATACGCAAAAATTTTCCAGAACCCGTGCAGAAAGCCTCCGAAATTTTCGAAGCTAATGCTACTGCACTTGTTGGCGCAGTGGAACGCAATCCTTCCATTCCAGCTCAACATCAACAACCTACCTGCATGGAAAAAGATTTTAATGCCGGACCAGGCGGACGTGGAACAGAAGACAGGAGGAAACATGATACGAAAGCCACACCCAACGCCGCTAATGTTCAAGCGCCCAGCAAATCTGATCAGCTACAGCGACGAAAATGTCCACTGCCACGAGAATTATGTCCACATCGTGGCGATCAAGCAGGCGACAAGGCACAGCGTCATAGCGTCAAAGATCCTTCGGAGCGAGCTCATGGGCAAGATGCGAAGACTTCGAAGGAGCAAACTAGCAAACAACATGCAGGCGAAGATATTCTAGCGGCAGCGGCCCAGCGCGTTCTCAAGTCCCGTGAGATGAAGTCCTCACTGGAAGTAGATCCGACAGCAGATGACACTAACATGGTGTCTGATCCAGCATGCGCCGAACAAGGACAACCTTTCGAGAAGGGCATGGGCTCCGAAACCGTAAGATCCAGCCAAGGACAGGCGTCTAGTGACACGGCTCAGCCAAGGACAATTTCCGCAGGTTCGCTTTACGAGGGCAAGATCGTGAACCTGGCAATTCAACCAGTTGCGCCTGAGTGTCCGCCAGCCACGACGTTATCGATTTGGCGTGACCGACCTGCCTTCCGCAGAATTTCCTTTCAAATCAAGTGTCGACAAGAAATTAGCTACGCGCCGCCGGGATGCCGGAGTCGGACCACAGAGCCGTCCCATGCGAGGCTTCAGGGAACCGAGCCGCCCGTCGCACAGAGACACAAACAAGCAACAACAAATGAAGCTGCGGTAGTTGCACCCCCGTCGGGCGGACGTACAATGCAGACGGCAAGCTTCCTACAAGGACAACAGCAGCAGCAGCAGCAGATGAGTGGGAGAGCAGATCATCCGCAGTTGCGGAGAAGCCTTGACGCTCACCGAAGAGCAGCAGGAACAGAGTGGACCGGGACGGAGCCGTCTCAACATGCCAATTGTGCTGTGGCTTGTTCGAAGTTCGCCGAAGATGACGCGCGGCGCGAATGTGATGGACAGGTCGACCAACTCTCGTTTCATCAGAGTAAGATGAGCCTTACAGGCGCTGCAAACAGCGGCCCGCAGATCACAGGTTTGCCTGCGGCTCGGGATGCATCAAGAAACAATGCGTTTGCGGGCAGGTCGCAAATGGTCAGCGTCAGGACGAGTGAAGCCACAACTAAATTTTCAGAATTTAACGACGGCTACACCACGGGCGAAACCGTCCACGCCACGCCGCTCTTGGCAGATACTAGCGCCAACGTGCTTCCGCACCCGACATCATGGAGTTTACCGGAGCATCAGCGTCGCAGTTTGTTCGGTGCAAATGACAGAGAGCCAGCGAGCATTGCGGCACAACATGGACTTCCGGCTTTAGGCTCTCGCGGCAGTGACGGACGTGCCCAACGTGACAATGTCACTCCTATCGACGCAACGAGCTACGAAGCTGCTGCTCTCCTCTACGATACGGTCACATCCCATATCCAAAATTTTTTTCCGCTTGGAACTGGAGAAAGTGCAGGAGCATGGGCCGGGTGTAATCGCACACGACAGCAGACTGACGCAACAGGAGCAGGAGCGCCGGACTACAACCAGACGGATCGTGAACAGAGTAAGCCGAATGCAGAACGAGGCGAGGGCAGCAACCGGTTGTATGCCACGCTGCATCATCAAGGACAACAGGGAAAGCGAACGATAAAGGCGACGGCTGCTCCCGGCGGAACCTTCCGCTCTTCACGGCCAAATCCCCAGCAATGCTCTGAGCAACTCCGTCAGGCAGCACATTCGTGCCGCCCTGCCGCTGGCGGAAGCACAATAGCAGATCCGCGACCATCCTCACGACTTCCTCTGCCTGAGTCGCAGGCTGTACTTGGCGGAACCAGGCAACCTGCAGGGGGCGCATCGAGAACAGCACCTCCGAGCGCGCACGGAAGCAACGCAACGACATTGCTACGTGGGTCCCGTCAGAATAAACTTCCCTGGCCGCCGCGTTCTACCTTGGTCCCTAACCAAACCTTGCCAAAAGGAGGAGCGAGCGCCTCCACTTTGCAACAACTACCTGCTGACCACGATTTCATCGATGAAGGGGCTGGACCCACCGCTCGGCGGGGCTGGCACGAACAGTCCTCGGACTCTTCCACGCCACCCCTGGCGTGGTCCGCAAAAGACTTTTTCCTCGAGCAGCGGCAACTCCTTCAGCAGCAGCAGCAGCAGCAGCAGCAAAGGGGCTGGCCGAAGCCTCCACCTAGTGCTAGCACTATACCTCCCGAAGTAGAACAGATTTCTTCCTATGTCGACTACAACTACCAGTATAACCAGCTGCATCAGGGGGCGACCTCCAGGACATCCACAGCCAGTACCACTGGAGCTGGAGCAGGAGAGCATCAACATCCACAGGAGATTTCTTATCGCGGTCATCTACTGCCACCGTGGTCTCACACAGACGGACCGCAAGCACGGAACATATCGGCGCCACAGAACAAAACGAGCGCCACAGACCAGGGCGGAGGCAGAGCTAGAGGCGGTCAACCGACTACAGTGTCAACAGGACTTGGCATCGAGAACTCGGCTTTCGTACTGCCTGTGGTCGCTGGCAACTGTACTAGCGGCAGTCTTCCGGATGACAGCTGTAGTTACAATTGCTCAGAGAGTCCCCGAGGGTTTGACAGCAGCAGCAGCAATCCCGCCTCTTCTTCCCCCAAACTGGGGTCGCGCAGCGTGCACAGCATCTTGCGGCCGAAAAGCTCCGTGTCCTCCGGCCGAGAAGCTACAGCGACAGGAGGAGCAAAAACACACCGGGACCACAAGCTATTCAAAGGGAGTTCTTGTCACTTAAGGAAGTTTTGCGCGTTTTTTATTCTGTTGCAATGTGTTAGTGTTTTCAATCCTTACTTACTCCGGTAAGGTTGATTGCCTTGCATCTCTTTCTATTGGTCTCTTCTTTTAATACCATTGATAGATATTCGTCAGGGATAGAAGGCTATTCATTGTTTTTCTCTTTACATACACTTACAGATTTCTTCTCCTGACGAGTTTTGGATTTTCTTCGCAGCTGGTTGATCGAAATCGCAATCGGTACAAGTACGCTAGTAGGCGACATCAAGGGCTCTAAATTATTCAGGATCACAACAAATTAGTCAGGCCACGCCACGATCTGTCTCGGCTGCAAGCGAGCAAATTATCGCGCGTCGTGACACATTGCTGTACGAAAACGCGCTCCCGCCGAAAAATGGCCGTACTGGTCACCGCGAAATAAAGAAGACTAAGGAGACCAAGGGAGTGCGAGGCCCTGGATTAGTTGACAGCCCCAAGGTACGGTTACGGAGTGACGACTTATAAATTTAGTTTCTGTTGAACCGCCCTCGCACTTGATGGGTTGTTGCGTATTTTGTCTTTTTCTTGTGAGGCTCTGAATTATACCAATGCTCTTCCTCCCCCACTAAATATTTTTCGGAAATTTTGATCCTCTAAAGGCCGCAGAGCGGAGGAGCGTGGCCAGACGAAAGGTTTCCGGCGATGAGCCCCGGAAGATTCAACCCGAGAGAAGAAATGTCACATTCTTCATGCAGTAAATATTTTTGTTTTAGACGGATCACTAAAAAAAGCGTAAATTGCTCACACATGATGAACATTGATTTTCTGGAAGTTTTTACGGAACAAAAGAAGTAGCAGTAGTAGAAAAATTGAAGCAAGTATAGCAACGGCGTAGAGTCGCGAAATTGACTAAAAAACTAGTTATACCAGGGAGGAAAAGCATGTAGTCCTATGAAGCAAAAAACGTAGCTGCGGGCACGTATGTGCCCTGTGGCTGACCGCCTAACTGACACACATGCGATGCCATTGAATATCGATTGGCGGATGGACCCGCCGCCCGAAGTAGGGTTAATATCAACACGCCGCTTATCAGAAATTATTATCAATATACAACGACCTTGTCTTATCCCATGTTTGAAATGACTTTTTAGCTCCATATTCGCTCATTCAATATTACTACACTTCTAGCAGTAGCACCAGATCAACATGGATGACGCAGTTCGCTGTTATCATCTACATTTTTTATAGTCACTATTTGAAGTCATACATTTTTTTATTTCAATCGACATATAGAAACTTGTAGTTGGCCGTTTAGACACATATCATCATACTCACTGCGAAATGCAAATCACTAGAACCACGAGTAGAAGTAGAAGTTTGCTTCACTATTATATCAGCGGCATGGCAACGGCTAAGATCTCCTTCTAAGGTCGTAGGCGCATGCATCGCCTGACAACCTGAAACAAGGCTTATCTAAAGGCGAAGCTGTTAGAAAATTCAAGAATTAGCTCCTCAGAGGCCCACTCGTGTTCTTCCATGATCATGCTCCCAGCTTCACTAGCTAGGGTAAGCTTCTACCCGCAAACAGTAGCTGTTCAAGAGGTGAATATCACTTCATGCGACTCAATACTGCTGAAGCACCGACGTGGTTTTCTATTATTCTTGTATCGCGGTTTTAGAACTCCTTGCCAAATACTGAGCCAATGTTTAGTACTATCCTTAGTTGGACGCTAAAAGATTGGTTGACTTTTTTTTCTGTCAGCACATTGATTCCAAAAATATACTGCTGCCTTCTACAACACGTGGGTGGACAGGGAGAGAGAGAAGTAAAGGTAGTCGATAAAGCTTCTTGTTGATTGAGAACCACCGCAATCGTAATGATTGTAAACCTTAAATTGATGAAAAGCTTATGGCAAAATCCAGTTTTTGATGGTGAAGCAAACACTTCCCAGGAGGTTCAATGATACCTAAGTACGTAGGAACGTGTCGCAACACCGCGGTTCGAATTTTTTATGTTGTAGAAAGGCACGTGCGCCACACCATGCTGCTACGCAAATTCTAAGTGATTCATTCACTCTCTTCACTCATATACTGTGGCACGAAGATAAGGTGACTAATAAACGGCTCGTTTTTGTGGTACTGCTCCCTCCGGCGCCTCAAAGCCTATCATCTAGTGGGCGTAGGCGATCTGGGTATTCTGTAGTTTGCAGAATTTTTATGGGAATAATACGACAAAGCAAGTCGCTACTCGTCACTGTGATTTTGGGAATATATCTCTGTATGTATTAATCGCTCCCGAGCGTAGAGGTGCGGCAGTCGCAGCTGCGGGGAGGTCGGTGCCCTGTGGAGTGATTGATTGGCTGACATCAATGCTCATGTTTATAAAGGTCGGACGTCTTTGTTCTGCATCATGATTTGCCAGGAAGAACTGGCGTTATTGGATAAGGTGGCATATCTCTGCGGCGATTCCTAACATGGGTTGGTTGGGGTTTGGGACAAGGCGTGTGCTTTGGGAATCTATGAAAGAGGTACCATGACATAACATGGGAATGATCGGTGTTCTCGTAAGTAGAGTAGCTCAGAATAGGAGAGCGAATTTTTCCACTCAATTCCTTCCACACCGCGCGGCAGTCTGCACAGATTTTTTCTGCGAGATTTATTGCGGGGCCGCGTTGTAATGTCTTGTAGTTTCCTTTGTCGTATGAAGAGATGCTCACATCGTTCGGCGGCACATCTCGCGACATGTGTCATACGGTACCTGGGGTGCTCGATGTTCAGGATCCGTAACCTAACCTCTCGAACACAAGTAGCTAGGGACCATGCTACTCAAGATGCTTAGCGATAAAAATGCAAAGAGTGAAAAATCGAAATAATTGCCTTTGCCGCTTTTTCTTGCACGACCTGATCTGCAGAAATAACTCGAACGCCGAGGGTGGGTGTACAATTTGTTAAAGCCAATTGTCTACTACATGCTAGGTAAATGAATACTACGACCAGCAGGTCGTCGCAGCGTGAACAGTGATCGCCACTGTTTGAAGTACTTATGACCCGAGGGAAGCGCTTGAGCTTGCACTATATATCGGGTACAGGTTGTTAGCAAAGTAGTAAACGATTTCTCAGTAATTTCTGCAGAAGACTTTTCTTCCAAACCTGGTAGAAAGCAAGAGTCCACCACACGCAAGTGACAGGTAAGTCTCCCGCGACGGTGTGATGAGATACTTATGCAGTTGCAGACACATCCACTCTTTGGAGGTTTCTGACCGGCCTGAGTCGGAAAAGAAGAGTTTTCAAGCGATGCAAGCATTTTCCAACCGCTTTTTCAGGGCAAACCAACGCTGGCTTTGCATTCTCTAGAAGGAGTCTCTGAGAAGAACACAGGATTGACTCCTCACAATGTATGGAAAGCAAGACAACGTGGACAACTTCGAACTCTAGCTCGTTGTCGAAGATCAAGGTTCTTCGACTTCGAGCTAGAATCAGGATTTATACTTAATAAAAATTGATGATATCGGGATTTATACTTAAAGAATACAATGAGGATCCTCATCTTGAAATAAAAAAGACATTCACGACTGCCTGGCCTCACATATGGAAGATCCTAATCGCCATAATAAGAGGGACCATGACACAGCAGCACACATGAAGTCCTATTTTCCATATGTATCGCTGTTGATCTTCAAAGATTAGAATCGTCAGCAGATACTCGTGGCACAATCACATAACCACGATAAAGCAAGAAACATGTTGCATGATGTTTGTTCTTGAGTACCATCACTACTATGTATTAATTGTGATTATCATACTAGTAGTTACTTCATCATTTGAATACAACTCGAAGATATATCTGTTATTCTTGGAAATTAGCCGTCGTTAGTCCTACTACTAATCTCTGTTAGTCTTCATCTAAGTAGAACGAGTCCGTTCATGTTCACCACTGCCATTGGAAGTTCGTGGATGAGAAGCGCGTTGCCATTGCGTTTTTTGGATGCTCGCGGCGCCTTCTTGCGAACAGGTACAACAAGTGCCGTCTGTGACAGATAGTGAAGTTTCTGTTTATTAGATAATTGTCACAGCAAGAAGAAGTTGTTCTTCTTTCTGTCATAAGCAGGTGGAAAATCAAAGGTCTGAATATAGAATGCAAGAAGAAGTAAGTCGAAAAAAAAAGAACATAACTGTCATTCTGTATGTTTGCTTCTCGTCGAAAATTGAGTCAGACCGCGGTTTTGTGAACAACAAGAGCGCAAACCATTGGCTCTTGGTCATTCTTGAGGCGACTGTCGCTGACCTCGACGAATACAATGAACGAAAATAGCTTATCCCCATGTTGCGCTCAACAGGATTATTCTGTATGATTACAATTGCTCATAACTCATCTGATTCATTGAAGTCTTATCTCTTCATTATAATGACCATGAATCGTCTTACACGGGAGGGTTTCTATTGTGGTCGTGCATGCACGCCGCAGTGGCGGCCACCTTGATGGCTTGCGGCTTGCTTAGCCTGGTTCAGAGGGCCAGCCCAATAAGAAATTTCCCGGACGAGCGTCTACCCTCCCATGAAGATGTAAGCCTTGGCGTGTCGCGCGTAGGCTACATTCATCGACTACTTTTTCGTTCTATTTTCTACACAATTATACCAGAATATTATAGGTTCTTGCATCGCTGCTATGTTCTATGATCGTCAGTGAATAATGTGAGTAGGGGACGAATGTCTCACGGATGAAGGTGGTCCCGTCGTAGCTCAGCTCTTGGCGGCACTATCTAAACGTCGTGGGCGGGTCATAACCGAGCTGTGTGGCCGGGCCATTAGCGTTATACATCGAGTATTTGAGCGGCCTTTGACTGATGTGCGCCGCGTCTCTGTTATGCAAAGGCTATCATCGTCTCAGCTTAGCGCGAGTTGGTCGCTTTTCTGTTGGGCTTCGAGTGTATTTCTCCTTTCTTCAAACGTGGAAAGCTTTAACAGCGTAAGTATTGCTATGAGTCGCTGCACCCTTGAGGATAGTGAGTGAGTTAAAAGGGGGAGAACGTCCCATCGCTCTCCCTCGCCGGTCCTTTTATCTCCCGGCCGCTCTTAGCAGCGTAGTGGCTATCAAGCATAAAGTAGCCCCTTTGGTAGGCGTTAGCCCTCCGGCTCCGGTTTCTGTTATTCTTTTTGGTTATTTTTTGGCGATGGTGTTTGCGGAACAAGGTGGTCAAGAAGCGATGGCGCGAAGCGTGAAGTCCCTAGTATAGAGTAGCTCCACCAATACGGCGATGCATCTGCAGACAACTTAGCGACTGTAGACGCGCGGGCCGCCTTACTCTAAAAAAGTTTGATCTCAGTAGTGGCGCCGCCCTCTGTGCCGAGTGTCCGCAGCTTGCCTCTTCAGATCCTAGCTAGTAAATGGCCACGCCAAAGCTCTAGCCCTCTCCGTGTTCGATCCTGTAAGGTTTGGCTCTTGTCTCTCGGGGTGCGTCAGATATGGCCTGCCATTGTTCTACTTATGAGCCGTCGACGAATATGCCCGTGGGGCTTTGGCTCTAGCTTTTCTACAGCGGTGGCCGTTGTGCTTCACCGTTTGCGTAGTCCTAGTTTCCTGGCCGTTGTGCTTCAGGCTTCCCGCGGGGTAATTAAATGGAACTATAGCGGGAAACTGTGAACCCAGGCCCCCCCAAAAAAAAAGCCCGAACCGCGAACATGAATGGAGGAATGAATGAAGAGGACAGCAAACGACTACCTTGCGTAATCATGATGTCAGACCCCTTCCATAAAGATGAATTCGGCAGTCGCAGCTGCAGGGAGGTATGTGCCCTGTGCGGGCGCCCCGATCGCTTGCTAACTGGTGAAGATCCGACGCTTATGCACTGCCCGCAAATAACATTGCCCGGCTCGCTGTGGTTATTGATCGATCATAATTATAGCACTCGCGTCTAGTATTCGACTCAACATCAATATAGCAGAGTAGTTTATAGCACGCATGGTGCATGGAGTAACATGGAGCGCATGGAGCGCAGAGCTTTATAAGGAGCGCAAGAAGCTCCCCCGTTAGCTCCATGCTACTCCATGTGATCCATGCACTCCATGCCGTGCGAGCTGTGAAACCTTACGAATTGCTCTGATATAGCTACAACGTCCACCCCTAGTTCTAAACCACGACTCAACATCGACGCATTTACATGTCTAGTATCCGAGTCCCTAGCTGTAACGTGTGAGTGTGATTTTTTCCTCTTCGGCAACATCAGAATCTTCATCAATGCTCAGGACATTGAAACGGGTCCTGCTCCTAGACCTGGCGATATCCAGCATGCGTGTCTAGTACAGGAAGATGGTCATTATAATGAGAATTAGTGGGGTATCGCTAAAGTCCATCAAGAGCGAAAGCTGTCCATCAAGAGATGATTTAATCATGTTCAGCTTTTGAAGTACTAACTAAAACTACGGAGAACAACTTCTACCAACAACCAACTAAAAGAAGATCATAATTGGACTCCCACTCGCTTCTAGCTTGTGGAGGTCGAACTAGTAGCGAGTGTGTGTTAAGTGTTTTTCTTTTTAGATTACACAGCCAACAATGCCACGTTTTTTTAAAATTACAAGGAAGTACTTTTATCGCACTCCTGGCGTCTACTGGCTCACAACGAGGAAGACGAGGACTCGACTCTTTCGAGAACGTACTGTGTAGCCTGGTATTTATGGAGACTTGGAAGCTCAAAGCAGAGCAGACGCATGAAATGACTCGACTCCTGCTCGTGCGATAGTCGTCTTATATTTTTGCCGGGCGTCAGGATGCTGGGCTCACGAGGCATGCGTGGTAGGAGCCCTGGCCGCGTAGACTCCTAAAATCGCTCGTGAGCAACTCAGTAGCTACGAGCAGCACAAAAAATTGAGGCTTACATAAATATTCATCTTGAGAGGCATCTTTGACGTGTTTTCAAGGGGAAAAATAGGGCAAAGATGCGCGCCAAGATGAATATCGGTAAGGTCTAAAAAAAAGCCCCGTGCATACGGCAAGCAGCTGTTGTACAAAATACGTATCTATACAACATAAAAAGTAGTTAGACTTTCATGTCGTGGATGTGTGATGAAATTCCATGTTGAGGAAGAAAGAGCAGCGCGAATCGCAGACTTGGCGCATGCATCAACATCAAGTTCAAGCTTGCGTGTCCAGACAAGATCAAGTTCAGATTAATCGGATCGGCATCAAATTCAAACTCAAATTCAATTTTGGATGAACAAACTGACGTCATTAGTTGTATCTAAACATAAGGATATAGTTATAGTTGTAGATGTTGTACTTCAGAGTCGCGAACATGATTACGGTTCGTAGATCTATCCGAACCAGTGGTCGACTCAACACTTCTGCTCGCATTCCTAATGACGAAGCGCATGGACATATTAATGTGAGACGACTTAGTGTCTGCTTCTAGAAAGCCGCATGCAACTCCTACTTTCTTCATGTAGTAGTTGTTGTCACAGTGAGATTCTTATCAAGGCCGCACTATTAATATGGCAACATAAGTACTATTTCAAGCGAGTCCTTCGATGTTGATCTTCTACGATATGAATTTGTTAGGCTCGAACTCGATTGCCGTGGCGGTTCTGCGCATCACCACGAGATGTAAGGGAGTAGCGCAATGCATTTCTTACTTCTGTCTCTAATTGATATTTTCAAATTCAGAGGCATTAAATCTAATTCTAAATTCTAAGATGACAACTTCTAGAAAGATATCTATTTCTTGTTGTTCTACCATGTCAATAACTTCTTCTTATGCTGTGAAAACATCCAAAAGCGATGCCAAAGTTAAGAAGTGGAACTCGTCAAGGTCTCCTGTCGTCAACACGGCAGATTAGACAATGACCCATGAAAATTGCGGTCTCTCTTATTGTTCATCCATAATTATAGTTTGAAAGCCGCCGAAATCGTCAACATCAACAGACTTGTGTTATTTTGTTCAATGTTGTAGTTGGCTCGGAGCCGCTGACTGATGGCAAAAAAAGATGCTAAATGACCTCACCTCCTCGTGTGGTGTACATCTGGAGTAACTGCTCCTGTCCGGGAAAGGAGAAGGGGGTGCATTGGCCTAAGGACTCCTGCAGCGGTCATTTCTGTGAGGGTCTGTTGCTTCAGATTGCATGGCGCGTGAAAGTCGAGAATTCATAGGATCATTCATTTTCTAGAAAAAAGACAACCACAACGTAGGGAGAACTACTACCTCAAGTATTTGTTCTTGGATCGACTCCGTGCGACTTACCTGACCAAATCTGAGTTGACCCTTGAGCGACCAAGAAACTGCTGCACCAAAAAAAGTTGGCCCCATGACTGAAATTTATTGATAAGATCGATAAGAAACTACAATTAGTTTTATTTTAGAAAATGAATGCGTGCCAGTACTCACATGCACTTTTCATCATAAACACATAGCACCCTTCACAGAATCGCGAAGCCGCTTGGAAACAAGTTTTTCACCCATTGTCAGAGTCAGCTCAGTGCAGATTTGTATAAAAAAGGAAGAACAATAACTCCCATAAACGCGAATATTATATATGATCCAGGGCTCAGGGCTACGGTGCCCCCCCTTAGCGTAGGGGGCGGGCACCGGTAGCCCCGGACCCCTTCGGAGACGTCTGCCGGGGGTGGAAGGCCTCAAAAGGGGGCCAAGGGACTCCTCCGCTCCCTTCCAGCTGCCTGGCTGTTCCCTACAGACCTCCGGCTTCAAAAGGGGCCGAAGGGACCGCCTGCGCCCCCTTCCAGGTGCCTGCTTGTGCCCTACGTGCCTCCTATATGCTTCGCCGCCGCAGCAGTGCGCCGAAGGTCAAAGGCCTCGGAAGGCGGCAAAAGGCGAGGGGCTGGACCCCCTGAGCCGTGCGGCCTGTGCCCTCCCTCCCGGCCCTTGGTTATCGGCTTGCTTGCTCTTGAGACCGTGGCCGCCTTCGGTGGCCTTTTACCCCGGAGACCTCCCACCTGCGAGGGTCAGCAGAGGCCACCTGAGGAACACGCAGAGAGGCGCAAGGGGACGCCGGCGCCCCGTTTTGGCGCCTTCCACCACTACAATCCGCGAAAATCGGCGCGGAAAAGCGCGCGCGCCACCCCGGACCATGCCACAGGGGAGAGGAGCTGGCCAGCCCTACAACGTATACACTCATACTTTCTTACACGAAGAACATCTTCATCCCGTGTGCTTATCGAGTGAATTATAGTACTAGAACAGCCTTTGTTAGTCAGCCAATGTCAAATGACCTCAAATAGTTTGCATAAAAACATCATGCAGCTCTTTGCCGTGAGTCCTAAGGAGGACTGCCCGCACGTCGCCGCGTGCGTGAAGCCCTTGAGTTTCTATGCCGACAAGGGCATCCATTTGCGCACTGCGTCATGCCCGCAGTGCGGCGAAACAAGCGAAAACTGGCTGTGCTTGCGGTGTGCCGGAGTTTACTGCAGCCGGTACAAGAACGAGCATGCACTCTTTCACTACATCGAAACAATGAGCGAACAAGAGAACCAAGGAGCCAAGCCTCACTCCGTGTCCCTCTCATTTTCGGACCTCTCGTTTTGGTGCTACATTTACGGCTTCTCCTAATACATCTTCGCAGGGATCTTAGAGACGTTTTCAAAGGGAAACAGTCTCAGGATGGCCTTGGAGATGGATTAGGGTGAGCTCTAATACATGTGTGACAGCTACGTGGTTGCACCAGAACTAGTACCCCTATTAAGGCTAGTTTTCAGTCACTGTCTGGATGTGGGAGATAGTCAACGCCATTTTATAGTGTGACTATCCACGTTATAAATCAGAACGAATCTCAAGGGCTAAACAGGAGCGAGCTTACGGCTTTAGATGTACGCAAATCATGGGAAAGATGTGCGGGCTAGATGTATACGTCTGAGATATATACCAAGCGACGGATATCTTCTACGTAAATCACGGGAAAGCCAAGGCGCACTCTTGAGATGTACTTACGCCGGGGCGATTCGTGGCGGGTCTCCAAAGTTCTACTTTTTTGAGATGTACGGAAATCATGGGAAAGATGTGCGGGCTAGGTGTATACATCTCGCGCCGTGAAAGTGCCGCGGTTTTGGGTACAGCTTTCCCCTGATTCTACTCCTGCTAAGTATTTCGGCAGTACCTGCTGCCAGGGTATTTGCTTATGTAACACGTAATAGCTTGTAGCATGTAGCTGCTTTGATTATTCCATAGCCCGCCACTCTTTACGTAATTCGTAGCACCCCGGTAGGCCGTATGGATTTCATGCAACTCGGAGCATTTGCAACACCCTTCTGCCTTGCCCCAGCGTGTGCACACGCCGGGCGCGCGTGGGCGGTAATTATATCTAACGACGGTGGTAGCAAGGTGTGAGGCACAGGCTGCAATATGCCTGGATCTTCTGACTTCAGAAGGGAGGTAATCAAGGGTGGAGTAAAAACCCCTTGATTTCCAGAAACTCGGCGGCGAATCTTCACTCATCCACAGGGAGTGACTCTGATTGACTGTACCTCTTCTAACCTGAAGACGTTTTTTTGAACAACAAAAGTTTGGCCAGGTCGAGCTAAGTGCCGCTGAAGCCATCGATCTCGTGACGCAAAGTTTTATTGAGGCCGGTGCACCCTCGTCCTCCAGCAGTGGTGGACATCACCAACATATTCATGCTGCATCACCGTCAGGAGCATCTTCAAGCGGTGCTGGCCAAATGCTTGGTCTTGCGACATTCAACGTCGCTCAAAATGGAGCTGGAGCATCGTCATCAAGCGCAAGTAGTGAAGCACATTGCCGAAGACCAGAAGACCAAGACCACAAGGGCGGTTTACTGGAGCAACAAGTACCGTCTTTCCCTTCAAATAGTCGTGGTTGTCACAATTATGGACACCAGGGAGCTTCCTCAAGTAGCAGTAGCAGTGGACAACAAAATAAAGCGCCTTCAAACGATGTAGTACAGGAGATAGGCCAAAGTACTACAGATACAAAAGACGCCATATAGGTCGCACCATGACACCACGGGAGGACTTTTTATCTTCCATGTTCTTGAATGTGAACAACGCCGATGATCATGCATCAGGACTCAGATCCTTTTTCTTTCATAGTTCTCTTGTAACAGATGTTGTCGCATAAAATGAACAAAAGCGAAGAAGCATTCAACACTACACATGCAAGCACAACCTACAAAGCCGTCTTTTACAGAAAAGTGTAGGCTTCAGCCTCATGCGACCTCTCTGTGTAGAGCTCGAGGCGTTCAAGTTCAAACAAAGAATGCTTCTGCCTCTACAGAAAAGTGTTGCCAATATCTAAAGGAAGACAAAATTGAGTTTGAGAGCCAACATTTTTCAATTTCCATCCTTTCTTTCATCGACTGGGGAATTCTGTCGGAGAGACCACCACGGTACAAGGAACATGCCTCACTTACTCGGTCCTCTACTACCGATGTGCACGACCACAGCGGTCCTGAAAAATGCGGTTGCACTCAAGCCAGCTTACTGCGGTTGTAAAGACTCATCAATGCAGGCACTGCTCAACATCAAGTTGTGAGAAGTGTAGCTGTACGTTTTCTGAAGTTCCTCTGATGAGTAGAGTGAGAAAGAGAAACCCCCTTTGATGAAACGACAGTCCCTACTCCTGCCACGTTTTCAAATTTTTCATTTTTTCGCTTTCAAACTACTCATTTTCTTTCTTACTCCTTTATGCACAGTATTTGTATTTCCTGTTTTGATCTGCCAGCTTGGCTAAATGGGCAAGTGCTTGCACTCAGCTCCGGCGAGTTTCTGGCTCGAATCCTGGAGGGGCCTCGACTGGCAGGGGGATGGCTCTTAGGCTGGTCACCGCCCCACACCCAGGGGAAAAACATGGGGGCCGCGCTGCGGCGGACAGTGCGGGGAGATGAGGCTCCGGCTGAGCCCCGTCGAGCTGACGACACCGCGCCCACGCGGTCCATCGTGTGGATCAAACCTCCAGGCCATACAGCGCGGACCTGTCCAGCCGGGTCGGATGATGCAAAACGCACGGGGGCGCCACCTGGGCAAACTCGCAAGGCCTCAGGGCCAGAGGCCGGCTTGGTGGCCTGGAGGAGAACCTTCGGCACTAGTGCCAGCAGGTCCGAGCCAGGGGGGCGCCCTCCCCAGGTCGGGGAGGTTCCTCTCTCTCTATTAATTTCCTGTTTTGGTGCATTCAGGGCCTCAACCGCCCCGATAATATATTGGTGAATGCGATGTCTGTGCGTTTTACAACATTCAGGTAGATAGGTGGCCCAACTTCTCAGGAATCAAGTTCCACTATGATAAATCTTCATCTTGTTAAGGTTTCAGGTACCATTGGGATTGAGATCGTCCAGCGCACAACTTCAGCCTCCCATACTTCCTCATTGTCAGAAGTAGTAATTGCGTCAACAGCTTCCTGTCACTGGTCCTGGTGTGCCACGGGCGCAAATAGTACTTCCTCGGACTTTTTGCTGGCCTCAAAATATGATCCTTGGCTGTAGCAGGGACGAGATGCTCTATTCTAGTTGTTTCACTAAGACTAACTACGAAGTACCAACTATGAAGACCATTGAGTCAACATTGATATTAATCGTATCAGACAGTGATAGACAGTGACTTTCGGTATTGAACCCGGCGTCAAAGACAAAGTCGACGTTTTTTGCGTGAGGACCCCACATTCTTATCGAAAGTGGCCCGGTCTCATTCTTGTCGAGAAGATGATGGTTAAAACAGACGACGAAGAGCGGATTGAGTATCAGCCCACGAGCGTCGTGCAGGCTCCACGGGTTGCTATAGACCGACCGCTTTCAGCCTTGTTTCAACTTTCAGCCAGCAGCGGCCGCCCAATCGGCGGTGCCAAGCAAGGGGCTTCCGGCGGAGGTTATGGCAAAAATTAGAGTTCCTTAGTGAGTACGATTTGGATTTCTTTGAAAGAATTTCAATTTGTTTGTCGACCATGGTCTTGGTCACTCATCTCCGTGCACTATTCACGTGCGGCAGCCACTATATTAGAAAGTAACAGTCACCCTCACAACTGGCAGAGATCGTAAAAAGTAGTAAGTGTGAAATTTCGTTGTAATCGGTATGATCCGATGTTCGTCAAAGCGCTAAAACAAAGGCATCTTCACCCGTGGAGGTGCTGCCTTTCGCCCGATATCCGCACAGGGGAACCTACAGGAACACAAGTTACTCCAAAATTATGGAGTCGTTCCTGTTCAGCATCCTGCTAGCACCAGTGGCACGCCCTCGTCTTCTAGGAGAAGCAACGCGACGAAGCCGCCAAGTAGAGGCTCAACGCGAAATAACCGCACAAGTCAAAAAAGATCCTTCGTCTCACAACCGACATCCCCAGGACAACAGGCTGAAGAGGACGCCGCGTCGTCTCCGATAGCTGCTCCTGCTCAAAACTATTATAACGGACAAGTACCAGAATACAACAAAGCCGTCGCAGGAGAGCATGATAAATCCTCGTCTTCTGTTAGACGGGTGCAGCACCCTGTACGGAAACTGCCACCAAACGTTTACCACGCGCAAGAGTCTCAGTCGCCTCACTCCGTCGATGGCGTGTACAACTCGCGGAAAATTTCTGCCGGCAGTGGTCGTGCTGCAGCAGGCGGAGGTGGTTATAACCTTCAGTACAACAAGGAGAACAACAACTTGATACCGAGAGGAGCATCATCAAATGCTGGTGAACACAGACATCAAAATCTTTTTCTCTTTGACGGCGGAGGAGCGCATCCGCCTGACGAAGGAGACGAGGTTGGAGAAGAGATCTATCCTTCCGTACATAGTCCTGACTTAGAACAAAGGAGTGGTGCAAGAATGAATAACGGCACTAAGCTGTTGATTCCCTCTTTTGGCCCTGCCTCTACCAGGTTCGGACGTGATCGGACGCTCAACTACACCACGCATCAGACCGACATCGCAAAATACCGCCCCTACTCTGCTGAACCGGTGATCGATGAACTAATCGCAGAAAACCACGGAACCATGATAACAGACAACCAGCACGGAACAACTATGGGAAATTCTGTTTCCTACCCGTCAGCAGACTCACGAGGATCGGTAATGAGTCGTCCGAGAGCACAGTCTGAAGACGGTGTTGCTCGAGCTGGTGCAGACGAAGAAATCCTAGCCATGCATTCTGACGGAAAAATCGCCTTAGCTTCGCGGCATCGCGCGTACTCCGACCTTCCGCCGGTGAGCGGCATTGAACCCGATGCTGACATGATACAGCTCATCAAAGCACGTGAAGACGCTCGATCACAACAACTCAGTGGAGTAGCAGAAGAAACAACGGCTGGGACTAGGACGCTGCCTGGTGCAGTTAGCAAGACTACGCTGTCAAAGCGGAAAGTCGTGCAGCTGCAGGTCGGAAATATCAGGCCCCTGGGGATGAATATGGGAGCTCGCGGGACGACCATTGCAACAACAGTCACAAACGTAGTGCCGACTTCTTCGGCTCAACAAAACATAGGCCAACGCCAAACGGCGTTTCCGTCATCATCATCTAGTCTGAAAAACGCTGAGCAAATTCCAGGTGATGTTGTTGCGAATGCAGGTGGTCGTGGCTTCTGCGGATCTTGGCCGGAAAGCAAGTCAAGGGTGCCTGAGAATCAAGAACGCGTTTTGCAGTCCATCAATGACGTCGAGATCAACGCGGGGAAAGCTCCAGCAGTCGCGAGTAATCGCGTCGGCGTCCAGGACCTTCTTGCGCAAGGTCCAGTCACCCGCGTTCTACGAGTTTCCGAACAGCCACCGCCGCCAGCAGCAGGTAGCAAGTTGCATAGTCTCGAATGCTTCTAGGTCAGGGGCAACTCGAACACAATGCGAATATGGGTACAATCTGAATACGGGTGAAACAGAATCGGACATATTTATCAGGTATCGTAGTTTTATAACAAGAAGTGGCTACTTACTTTGAAAGTCTTGCTCTGATACTCAGGCGCAGGCGTGATCGCGATTAGACCTGCAAGCGCGAGGCCGCCACCACCGAACCCGAAAATGGAAATCAAACTTCCCCCTACCCCTATCGACCAGGCAGCAGCACACTTAGGACCGCAGACTAAATACAGTCGCCTGTACTCCGCACCCGTCAAGCGTCCCCCGCCGTCGCTAAAACCGGAGGAGTGCGTGCTCGAACGAGAAGTGCCAAAACCAACATTCGAAACGAGAATGCCAGTCGATAAAAGTTCTCTTATTTGTTGAATCTATGTATCGACTATTCAAGAAAGAGGAGAACAAGATGTAAATAATTACATCATGTATTCCACTTACTTATGTATTCAAGAAAGAGGAGATAGAGCTGTAATACGAATTTGAATAACTTACTACTAAAGAATATTTGTTGAATACATTTACATTCATAGGATAGTCTTGTTGTACTGTTTCCTGAACAATGATCATCTCATGAACTCACTATCTAACCCACTTTCAGAGAAGCTGATCGAGCTGCAGCAAGCAGCACTAGCAGGAGACAAACGACTCGTGAAGGCTTACTGCATTACAAGCAAGAAGTATTTACACTACACGGATGAAGACGGTTTCACGCCACTGTTTTACTTATGAACAAGAGTGCGGCTGCATGTGAGAATGAATTATACCAGAGTAGTTTATAGCACGCATGGTGCATGGAGTAGCATGGAGCGCAGATCCATAAGGGGCGCAAGAAGCGCCCCCTTTAGCTCCATGCAAATTCATGCGATCCATGCACTCCATGGTATGCGAGCCGGCAAAGGATATCGATTGCTCTGCTATGCGGGTCTTTTTTGCCATCCGTGTGTGACTTTAACACGGAGGACTTGATGTCTATGGATGTTTTTGCTTGGTCCGTCCTGGCACAACCTAGCTACCATTGAGGGTCAATCATTTTCTCTAATCCATGCCGCCATCGGGGGCTCGGGCGAGTGTTTTCGGGCAATGCTGTACGCAGGTGCAGATCCAGAATGGACGGGGCGCGGTAAGTGGACCGCAGCACACGCCGCTGCCGCAAACGAACAGACAGACGTTATGGCGGTGATAAGGAAAGAGTGCCCCCATCTCCTTACGGATTTCGAGGATGATAAAGGCTGGACGCCCATCGAATGGCTCAAAATCATTGTCAAAAAGACGAACAAGGTACGATGTCTACCTTGATCTTTTTCACTTTCTGTATCCTCGCGTGAAGTTTTCCTACGTACTGTCTGTAGCAGAATCGAAAAAAACATGATCATTTACAAAGTGATATTATGTAATCATGGACGATAATATTGATTTTGTTCCCAACGACTTGTCATTTCTTCCACCACACCAGGGGCCCACTGTTGGGCGCCAGAGCATGAGCAATCGCGCTAGATTTTTGAAGCCTGAACAGCCGGAGATAGCACGTTTCCACCATCCGCTTGCTCATCACGATGAAAAACTGATGATGGGACGGAGCGCCTGTCGGGGAAGAAGCGCGCATCCTGGCCTCAACGATTGGAGGAAGTAGTAGAGGCACCGGTGAGAGGAAGTGATGATGCAAAGTGATGCATCGAAGTCCAAACATCAAGTTGAGTGAAAAAGTGCTTCGCCCTGAGTCAATTTGCAATTGCATCAAGGGCTTTTGTGCAGGTTGAGATTCTTGATGCCTCATCGTATTATCATCATGATGTGGGAAGAGCCGGGGGCCCTTCTCAACACTCCAATGATCTACAGAAGAACACGAGAAGTTGTTAGTAGCTTTGGATTGAAATTCTTCTCTTCTCGTTTTTCGTTCACTTCATACCCAACAGTTTGGTTTTCTTGCTTCCGTTTTCTGAACATTGGTTGACCGTTTCCGTTTTTCTTGCGATTATTTGACTTAGAGGTCATGCCATTGCCAAGTTACTCGCGCGCATGCCCATTACGAATTCCGCCAGCGCGGCATTATCCTGTCTTGAATACAACTGCCCAAAGGCTTGATGTTCGTTGGCCTGGGCGGAACAGCACATGAATGAATTTAGAAGTGGCAGCAAAGCTTTTTTTCACAGACATGGTTTTGATTGAGATTTGAAAAGAAAATTCGAAAGAGACGAGAGGAAATGAAGTTCTTGTCGAGTCCGATCAGTAGGGAGTAACTACTTAAAAGAAAAATAGTACTAGCGAAAGAAAGTGCTACCTCTCTTTGACTTTGGATCAGAAAAGGGCATGCGGCAGAAAGAGGTAAGACGCACACACCACATAGAGAGCGAAAGCAAGTAGATTCGACGTGGAAGTTTTCTGGTCTTCGAAGTAGATGGCACAAAAACAGAATTCTGAGTACTCCGCGTTTCCGACCAAGTAAGATCGTCATCAGGAAAAGTAGTTACTAATTTCTTGAATCAATGTGGCATTTTTCTTGAGGTCAGGCTTGACCCTAGTCGGGGCTCCTCGCAGCCTCTCCTCGCTTTCTCGGGGCAGCACGACTATGAGACTGGCCATGCCATGGACGCGGAGGGGCGTCTTCTTTCGCTCTGCTCTGGCATACAGTGTGGTGGTGCGTCATGTTGACGCAGCTGATAGTCAGATCGTTCTGAGCATCGGACCGCTAGAAGCACTTGGAAACTGGATTTTTCCTCCACGAAAAAGCAAAATAGGTGTCATTGCGGATGCCACCTTTTCCGAAAAAGAGCAACACGCGGATACCAGATATCACCAGCACAGCAACAAGAACGAAGTAGCTGCACAAAAAGGAACGACTGAGAAGCCGAAGTCGCGCCAAGTAGAGGCCACGACTGCTCGCAATTCTGCTCGAGTAAAGGCACATGCAATTATCGGTACCACAAAAACCGAGGAGAGCCACCTTGATGAAGCCAAAAAAGATGCTGATGTGGCGAAAACTTCAGAGGCCAAGGCTACGAAGAAGAATCAAATCGCAGCCGATTCATCATTGCCAGAGGTGTCTAGGAAAAAAAAGGATGCCACGACCAGCTCGTCCAAGGGAGATGTTGGAGCGAATGCTGCCACGGCCAGCTCGTCCAAGAAGAGCGATGCTGGAGCCCCTGAACCAACAACTTCCTCGTCTTCGAAAGAAAAAGGAGGTCTCGTAGTAGTAGTGAAATCGGTAAAATCATCAACGAACCTTCCTAGTAGGAAAACTCAGAAAGCGAAGAAACAGAAAGAGATTGTACAGAAAGAAGTCGTTAAGGCAGTCGCCGCTAGAAATCAGGCCAGGGGCGAGAAGAATGAAAACCAGGCTTCTATGAACGACGGCAAAGAGGCAGCGAAAATGAATCAGGCTCCTGCAATCATGCGCGGCAATCCTCTCTTCGTTTCTCCTTCCCCGAACGTGCAACAGGAGATCCTTGCGGAGACACAGAGCAACTCAGAAGACATCGAGGCGTGTCTCAACCAGCTAGCCCTTGCTGCACCAGAGGTAACACTACCTAACTACGTATGGTATGATTTCGCAAGAGGCCAGAAGTGAAAAAAAAATCGTTTTTCTGGTAAGTCCGCACCTGCGCCGTCGTTGTCCGTTGTATCACTTTTTTCAGGCCAAACGAGACTTATCGTCTGTTTCATCTATGGTTGAGTAGGATCATCTCTCCAGGAACCTAAGACCGCGCAAAATCTCACCTACAAAAAAAGGCACTCCCTGGCGGGCTATACGTCACTTGTGAGAAGCTTCTCAAGAGCCGGGCAGAGGCGACAATGAGCAAAGCAAAGCGGGCTGATCGCACTAAAAGCGATGACTTGATAGCGACTGGAAAAACGCCAGCAGCCGGTGCTTCGAAATCGTTGTTGGCGAACGCCAACTCTCCAAATAGCAACGACGGGAAAACGAAGTCAAAACCACGTGCCTCCAGCACATCATCAAGAGCAAGTACAACATCCTCCAACAAAGAGGTGAGAACAAGTGATGGACAACGAGCTGCATCAACATCTGTTGATCGTGAAGTTATCGTACAACCAACATCCTCTCCTGCTTCTGCAAGGCCAGCATCGTCTTCTGTCTCGACAGACTCAGACCCGACCGCGGCGACAAGCTCTTTCTCGCTGACGTGTCAGAACTTGGTATCGCACGTTCGTTCTCGCACCATCGACTCTGCTGAGGGATCCTCCACTCCGCTAGACAGCATTGTCGGCTTCAGCGCCGAAGAAGCGAGTGCATTGCAAAAGTGCAGTGAATCCACCTCAACTTCGTTCGGAGCAAAGGGCTTTGCAGCAGCCGCGCTCTGTGAGGACATGGCGCGGTCTTTTGTCACAATGGGCGCACCGAAAGTCGCGAGCTTCTGCGATGTCTACGAAACTAGTCTACGTCATCGCATGATCGCGAGCAGAAGTGTGGATGCAATCTCGGGTTCGAAAGGTGATGCAGATTCGAATGCTGAGGAAAAGTCCTCGCCCAAAAAAATCGACCAAGAGCGGTCCGACGATCTACTAGTCGACTCAATCGTCGATGCAATTTAGTGGAAAAGAAAAATTTTGCATGTTCAGAATCAGCTACCATTCTTTTTTCCTTTTCTAATCTGTTTCCGTTTCGCATTTTTTAAAATCAAAATGTTACAAAAGCCAAATGCAGTTTGTCTTTTCCGGCGATGCAAACTTGCTAAAAAAGTCATGCCATCCAGTAGAGCCATACTTTGCACGCTCTTTCCAGACGGACGCGAGATCAGCGAGCAGAAGCACGAAGAAGAGCAGAGCCAAGTCTGTTGCTCATTTTTATCTGTGTATGTCTTTTCTCTTCTCAATTATACGTACTTACCTGCAAATACAGTCTATCAACCCTATTCGTCTCCGACATGTAATTGAGGTTTCTCAGTAACAAGTCAGTCGTGCTTCTGTTTGTCAGCGCAGTCGCGTGAAATCGGGAGAGAGTGAACTTGCTCCGCCAGTGCTTACAGAGTCTCAGAAAATAACGCCTGCTGGCGCATTCGCAGCACCAAAAAAGGTAAAAACAGCTCGCCTCCTTTCATCCCCTTTATGAAAATCGGGATTGAAGTTATACTTTTTCCAAAAAAATATATTTATCAATTCGCTCATTTCCCACGAAATGGAGGTTGAAACTTGCTACTACCTATGTATGAGAAAGAATATTTTTCTTTGATTCTCAGTTCCGAGTAAAACATAGACAACATCTAGTGACCATAAGTATCATCATTGTAATCAATTTTTTTTGCTATCAATGAAAAAATAAACAAAATAGATTGAAATTCAATCAAACACCAATCATTTTCATCTCCTTGTTTCAAAAACACATATGATCACACCGAACCGAGACATCCCGAAATTCGCAGACATAATGAGAAGTGCTGTCATCCAAGCATCTGTTCCTCCACGAGACAAGAGGACGCTTACAGTCACTAGTCGGATAAAGATAGGAAATCGGCGCAGACCGATCTTGATGCACAGGAGAATGAAAGATCAGGAACAACATGCACAGGACATGATACACAGGAGACCAGGAGGACGTCCCCTTGATGGCACGCAGCAACGTCATACTACCACTACGCACGACCAGCTGGCCTTTGGTTTTACTACCAAGGTAGCCAAAATGATGGGCCGTAGAAGTCGTGGGCGAAGAAGAAAGATCGCAGCCACGATAGTGGCAGTTGGCGGATCAGCCCTCGTAGTAGCCGGCTTGTACTCTTCGGGCGGCGAAGGTCGCAGCAGAATCGCCCTATCTCTCTTCGCTGGAAGCGAACCCCCACCATTAGATTTCTGTCTAGGCACAGCTGAGGACTGCAAGGAAGCCGAAAAAGAGGTACTTAGGCGTAGAATGGTAGACTCTTCGTTCTATGTCTTGGAAATGAAGAGATCACACATGAGGAGAGTAGGCAACACGAGTCTCGATTAAGTTGGGCACTTATCTAACAGCATGGGGCGTGGGAGATTGCGCGCTGCTTATTTTCCACTAACGCTTCCCTCCCGTTTTTTTCTTCTGTTGTCTACAACTCTTCTTGTGCAACCCCTCAGGAGCATGCCCCCGAAGTCGTCGAATTAGATGAGGATGCTGCACGCAACCAAGTCTTCGACTGCACGCTAGCAATGACGCCAGCTGACTGCACTGACGGGGAGCGTGAAAAAAGGTGTATTTGGCAAGACAACGTTGTGCGCGATGCTTCCTCCGGCGAAGTCAAGATGATGGGAGGATGTCAACATAAGCAGTGCATTTGCACGGGTCACGCTCCGCTCGATCCCGCATGGGACAAATATCTCAACATCGTCGCAGGTATATCTTCCACCTCCATGCAATAGAAGTCCTAGAGCTAGTTTTGCTACACCACCTCAAGAGAAACTAGAACTAACTATGTAAGTCTAACAAGTACTGAGTTGTTGGGTTTCTGCATCACATTGTTCAGAATTGTTGCACGACTATTATCTATGTTGCTCTTGCTCAAAGCACGACTGTCCGACCCTCCAGATGACCAGACGACCCCAGACCAGCTGTACCACGGCTGCGATAGCTATTCCGACAAGTGGTGCGATTTAATGTGGTCTCTGGATCCTGTGACCAGTATGTTCTCTTCAAATACTTGGAAAGGAGTGTGGTGTCATGCTAGATGGTGTTTTGTGGAGCCTGATTGTCCAGCTAGCCGTTTATTGTCCATCACCGCAGACCAGCCAAACGAATCGATGGACGAGCCAGGAAATGTGCTCACTGGTATAAAGATTATTCTTGTCAAAAACAATAACTAATTTGAAGATAATCTACTTCCTAGAAGGAACAAGTACCGTCAAGTCGACAATTGAAGATAACCATCTCGTTGTAGCCATGATCTCAGATGCATACCACAGAATTATCATAAGAACGATGTAGTGACTTTACTTATTTGATTGCAAAAGCGAACAAGAAGACCTTGACATTCTACTATACATCGTGAGAAATTCCCATCCTCCCAGCTCCCATAACGTATGTGGGCTGTCCTCAGGATCTAGCTGGCATAAAAATTATGAGCTTCACCAATTGACTACGTACAACACCAGTGCATTTTTACAACAAAGAGTCCAGTATTATATATGATATCAGTACTTGTAGAGATAGATGGATGACTTTATCCTGGAGTTGCCAACATTGTCTACCAAGCCTTGTACATGTACTAGCGTTGTCTTCTAAGAAAGACTTCGGATGGGACAACGTGAATTTCGACGGTTTGAATGTAACGGCTAGCGAAGACGCAGTTCACAAGGACATGCGCATCATCCTGGACCACGCGGCTAGTGTGGACGATGGCTCTGCTGTATCCACGATAGCAACACTTGCTCAGCCTACGGGTGAGCCAGAGAAGGGAGATCAAGGACAACAGCCGCCATACTGATTCAAGTTCAGGGACCTCTGGACTGAGTAAATGATGACTATGATATGCATGCATGTCAAAAACACCGACGTGCTTATGATACTGGATTTCAACTCTCTTTACATCAGATGTTTCAAGTTCATTGCCGGTCGTGCAGAAACCAGATGACAATTTCAAAAATCTGAGGTTGAGTTCTTTCCGCATCCATCACATACGAAAACCAAGCGTAAAATATATCTTCTCGCAGTTTGTTCTGTAGGTACAAGTGTGCAGGTTCCACAGCCTTATCAAAGTGAAAGCTAAAGAGGAACATATATTTGAATTTAGGTACGAGTCAAGGAGCATAAGTAATTGCTCCTTGTTCATGTTTATCTGAGTTATTTGAACTATTCAAGATCAAGTTATGGATCTTTGAAGAGTGAGGAGCAGGAGCTGAAGCATAGGAAGTGTTATGTTAAGAATGGTTTTCTTTAGATTGTTCCTCTTCGTCTTGCAGCTGTTCTTCCTTACCCAACAGCTTTGATAATCTGTCCATGATGCCGGTGCCAACTTTTCCCTTTCTGTCCTGATTCATCGATCGACTGTTGTACTTGTATGCTCTTCTCTATCTTTCATACTGTTCGTGCAAGTACCCTTCCTTTATCTAGTGCTTGCTTGCTGGCTTGCATGCCCATGGCGACGGAGAACAAGACTGTTCTATCTTATGGCACAAGTTAAGGCTTTCTAACTGACTGCGAATGTTCTACAGTTGTGGTAGGTGTAGTGAGCCGGCGCCCCTGCTGTGCTACCACAAGCTTCACTCTAGAGCATTGCGAGCGCCTTCTCTATTGTTCCATCGCCAAAAGAAGGACCTCAGGGGCAGAAGCAGTCCCTAATGTGCGCCTATTAGTTCAATAATTTTTTACTTTGGAGAAAATTCAAGCAAGGACTGCAAAAATCCGGACAGTGTTCAGTTTGTCGGGGCATCATGTGAATCCGCAGAACACTCGCCGCCTACTGCTCTGCTTTAAGGAAAGCCTTCCCCAATTGCGAGCAAAGAACCGCTGGCGCCCTCCAAATCCCCACGGCCCTCCAGAATCCCCCAGCACACACGTGCAGGCTAATGCGGTGGACTCTGGAGGGGCGCGGGGAGTCACACACGAAACGAAACCAAAAGACAGAAAAGCCAAGGGGAGGCAAGTCGCAGAAGCCGCGAAGCGGAGCACTTCCAGGACTAGGAGGCGACAATAGTGACCGTTTTCGTGTAGTTCTTAGCTGATTAGGCGCCAATCTAATCAGCCACCTGCGGAAGCACCAGAGGAGAGGGCAGAGGCGCAGCGAGCACGCTTCACCCTCGAAACTTAACAAAAAGAGGAGGCGCGAGCCCTTTGGAACTGAAGCGGCAACCGGCCCGGCCCTCCTCGGAAAGCGCCAAGATATTGAAGAAGCCCCGGCGCTCTTGTTTGCTGTGTGTGTCCTTCTGGCTCGCAAGGACATTTTGGAAAAAAAATCGGAAGCCATCCTTTCAGTTTTTTCGTCAAAGATGGCCTTGCGAGCTGGAACACGGCAAACAATAGCGGAGCCCATTCAATTCTGGCGAAACCCCCGGAAAGTCCCCCGCTGAAATACTTCAAGAGAGTGCGAGCAAAGCCAGCAACCCCCCCCCCCGACAATCTGCGCACACACGGCGGCGCGCGTGGGTCATGGCTTGACCATTTAAAGGCGGCGGTGTGTCTCTCTTTCTTGTAACTAATCTGATCCGGCGCGAGAGCCTCGGGGCGCCGTGTGGTCAAAAGTCCAACACTTAACAACATGAAAAGACCCAAGGACGAAGAACCTCGGGCGGACTGCCTCAAATCTCTCCGATTGTGGTGAAAAAACTGGCCGCCGCAAGTGGGGCTTGAATGGAGAAAATTCAAGCAAGGACAGCAAAAATCTGGACAGTATTCAGCTTTTCCGGGCATGATGTGAATCCGCAGAACGCTCGCCGTCTGCTGCTCTTCTTTAAGGAAAACCTTCCTCCAATTGCGAGTAAAGAGCCGCGGGCCCCCTCCAAATCCCCGCGCAGCTCCAGAATCCCCCCGCACACACTTGCAGGCTGATGCGGTGGACTCTGGAGGGGCGCGGCGAATCACATGAAACGAAACCAAAAGACAGAAAAACAAAAACCAAGGGGAGGCAAGAAGTTACAAAAGCCGCAAAGCGGAGCACTTCCAGGACTAGGCGGCGACAATAGTGCCCGTTTTCGTGCAGTTCGTAGCTGACTTGGCGCCTTTATAATTTAACAAAAAATGACCTCCCGGCATCAGCAGCGGACTAGCTTGCGACTCTGCAAGATACATACTGACTTTTTTCTCAAGAAGAGAAAGAGTTTCTTGAATTCTAAGGCCAATGAAATCGTTAGCGGTAGCCCCTCCTTTACTTCACTTTCCAAGACTTGTAGGCCAACCCAACACAACCACCTCAGGGACAAATTCAGACAAATGTCACCTGTGTGACTATTGCATTAGCAGAGTGCTTTGGCTCTATTGATATATTCTTTTGTTCGAAAGAATGTAAAGATCTTGGTCTTCTTCGGTTCAAATCATCTTCAGATTGTGGTGGAGTTTGTGTGCTACACAATCATATGCCCCTTATATATAAGGGTTGGGGTTTGTGATCTGTTATCTAGCTTGCTTGGGTGAAGTCGACAGCCCGGCCTGGCGTTTGGAGTGCTTGTTAAGGCTGCCCGTGTTAAGGCTATCTATAAAGTCATAGGTTGTGGTGGAGTACGGGTGCCACACAATCTATTCTGTTACGAAGAGACTCGTGGTCTCTTCCGTGCACTATACAGGAGAGGGTATCGGTGCTCAATTGCTTAGTTCGCCTAGTTAAAGCACAAGTGAATGCATATCGTATAACTCGCTCGTGCTGGAAGATCGTTCTCGCCACACGCTACTGCGGATAAGCTCTAGCTCCTTATCCGCACGCTTTGAATGTTATCGCTCTAGGAAGAAAGCACGGGATCTGTTTTAAATTTGTCGGTGAGCTTGTTCTTGTCCAGGACAAGGGATCCCCTCCCTCAACAGTCTTGATGTGGACAATCTTGACTGGGGGATGGGAGAACAGCCTGCAGTAGGTGCTCAGTGGCTGTTCCCTGACCTCTCCTACCCTCTGCCTTTCTTCGTCTATTTTTGCGTTTGCCGGTTACCTTATAGTTTGTGTCTACTCTCTACTCACATGGCCCTTTTGTCACTTCTCGCCCCTTAGGTCCCCTAGTACCTTCCACCATGTAAAGTATAAATTCATCTTCTGTGTTCGTCCTTCCTCTTTCCGAAATCAACCTCTTAGGCACAGGGGAGAGCTGTTAGCTTCTCAATATCATGATCAAGATCGTGCAAATCAATGCTTTACACTCTTTGAATAAGAATGTTATTTTGTTTGAATTTCGAATCTGCTCCCGCTTCCCAACCCAATCCTTTGCCTAAGCAGATAGATACCAATCAATCTCTCTTCGTTCCACAAGCTATTGTCTGTATGTTTTTTCTGTTAACTAGCCACAACCAGAAAGATGAACAATGGCGGATAGTTCTCCTCTTTTTCGTGAGTTATTCTCTCCACCTGAGTGTATGGACGAGAAGCACAACGTCCTCGTTGATTCGTTACTGTCGTATGCTAACGAAAAAGTCACTTCTAATTGGACCGTGATAGCAGAAAATCTCAGAAAACATGGTCTCCTCGCTCTGGCAACGTCAACGACTCAATCTACGAAACAACCACAAGAAGAACTCAATGTGGACCTTCTGTGGCCGGGAAGTGCTTATTGGAGCATCGCGTGCGGTGGGCAGATGCAAGTTCTACTTGAGCTTGAGAAGAAGGTGCACAGCGAGAATCGCGAGATTCTGGAAGATATTTTCAATAAGGGACCAGGACCTGAAAAAACTACTAGCACGAAAACGATCGAAATAATCTTCCGTCCAGATCGAATATGTGGTGCTTCTGGTGGTGCGTGTTCCGCTCTGTTGTGCGCACCTGGCTGGCGAGACACGCGTTTTTTGTTGAATGCGTATTTAGCCTACGCCCGACACCAGGAAAAGTACGGCCTCTTAAAATCGGAATGGTATGCAGTCACGCCGTTCTGGCGGGAGGCGTATCTAGAAGCAGCCCGCATAGCCCCAAACACCAAAGATCTCTTCCAGAAGCGCTTCATCGCTGTGAGGCAAAAAGCGGATAGCGTCTGGGACACACCGACAAGGAAACTTTCGAACAACGTGGTGTTTCACAATTTCGAAACTTCAGAGGAACTCGCGAGCGCTGGGGTTGCGTCTGGAGAGGCCACGCTTATGGGGCTATGGTCGGGGGTGGAGATTTCGGCCTCCAAGCTGCCGACACAGAGATTTATGGACGGAGGAAAGGCCACACACATGAATTGCCTTGACGGTGAGGAAGCTAGTGGTGCATCCCAGAAACGACCGCGTCCGTTCCTAACTTACTCTACTTACTTCGTGGAGAAGAAGTCTTATGCCTTGTACGTAACACCAGATTCGGTTTCTTGGCTGTTCAAGCGAGGCGTAGACGACACGCTCGATTGGTTATTGTCAGAGAATCTTGAAACGGAAAGAATGCACATGTATCGAGCAGACCTGTGGACAGAGGAGACTTTAAGTTCAACATCAATGACAAGATCGGACGTTGATGCGCATATCAGGCATGTGAATGAATCAAGCAAAAAGAAGTTGAACTGGGGCACTGACAGTTTATGGGATTTCACCCAGCCCTTTGGATTCGGTTCAAACGCTAACTTTGTCAATTTGGGTGCTTTGTCGAGAAGAACCTCATGATGCCTGACATTCGAGACGGTTTTGAGACAAGAATGGCAATCGAATCAATAAGCAGACCGTATCACTATGACTGTTTTTACTCTTACCATGTATTTGTTTCCAATTCTAGTGGCGAAAGATGTCGGTGGGAAAACTTCCTCTACTAGCAGCAAGTGTCGGCCGAAGGTCGGGATGAGATTTTGTCTTCTCGATTTTATTTGAGAGGGCTGTACAGACAAAGACCGAGAGCGACCGGAATTTGATTTAGCACCCCCTTTTTTTGAGAAGATCGAATCATTTGCATCGGCATCGGTGGAGCTGCGCATGGCGCTCCATGCAGAGTGAAGAACGACATACAAATGAGAAGAGTGGAAGTACCAAAGATAGACTGCACTGCTGTTGTCGGTGTTCCTTTCTCAGTCTGTTTAGCAGATCTGGTGTTATGTTTCACAACATCAAAACTGCTTAGTGGCAAAAAAGCCCCGTGGATTGGAAGAAACGTGTCAAAGACCGGCAAAGAGAGTGGTGAATTTCTAAGTTATCTTACCTTCGTGGGTATGGGTTTTCTTGATGATGATGTTGTTGTTGTTGTTGTTGTTTGGTGCACGAGCACAACGAACGACCCTTCAATCCAATACGACGCTTCCGAATCATGTGGCCACATTATAGTAAGAAGATTGGCGGGGTTATCCCTGCCACGAACGCAGTATCTATGTTGAGAATATGAGGTTTTCCCGCAGGTGTTTGAACATCGGTCCGTTTCGAATACGGACCGAATTGACTCCAAATCGATTGCCAGCTCGGATCCCCAGAGCAATTTCAACACAACATCCGCATATGTTCATTTGCCTGGTTGTACGAGTAGTCAACTCTTTTTTAACGCTATTTTCAATTCCAATTTTCTTCACGTCGCTTTTTCGAAAGACGCAGGTGCAGAACGCTTGGGAGATCGTCACAACTGCTCAAACAAGATGGAGCAGATACTTTGTCCAGCTCCGGTACCTTCGGCGAGTCTTGTATGCTATCTCGTTTTCTATGACGACCGCTGTGCTGTTCGCAGCTGCGTGCCCTGTGGGTCTCGAAACCCGAGCCGTGCAACTGTTAAACAGCGCTCGAACGATAAATCTCGGTCATTCCGTCTATCACGAGTGCATCCAGGGCGGCGGCTCGATTCATCAGCTCCTCTCCGCGAGCGAGTTCTCGTTAGGCAGTCACGCTATGACGGCAACCGCCGACGCAGATGAGTACACCAAGTTATGTCGCGCGGCGAATTCCGGCTGTCCGGGTGATGCCGAATTAGTAAATGCGCAATGTGTGCGGCCAGTCGTCGCTGGTAGCGGCGTCACCACACTCGATTTGACGCTCGTGGTTTCCGGTACCTACGTTCCATCACTCAACGGAAAGATTCCATCTGCGAACTTTGAGTGGAGTTCGAGATTGGCGACGGTTTTGGGCCTGCCTTTACAGGAGGTGCAGGTGGCCACGCTGTGGACGCCGCTTCCGACCGAAATCGAAGCACTGAAGTGGAAATGGCGCAGGCAAGGGCTAAAAGAACCCGGTGAACTACGTCGCCGCAAACTACTGCACCCAACTCCAAACAAAAACTCTGCTTCTAAACAAGAGGACGAGAAGGAAAACACGGAGGCCGAGGCACTACAACGGAATAAAGCCTCAGCCGAAAACATGAAACAAGCGAAAATAAGTACGTCTGGTGCTGAGCCTGAGGACATCTTGAAAAGCAGAAGCAAGATGCGGACCGAAAAAACGAATCGACCAAGACTACGCCGGACATCCTTTTTTAGAAAACGCGAGCATCTTCTGGATGAGAAGATCTCCAAGGACCATCCACGAGCACGATCACGAATAGCCAATACTTTTAAACAGACTTCACCGACCAAAGACGTTTGCACACCGTTGGCAAAAACTGGGGAAGAAGCAGCTGAGACAGACGCAAGAAAGCAACATCAAAACCAAGGCAGAGCCAGAGGGCTCCAACTTGACCCCTCTTCGTCCGACCGACGGTTAGTGATCGCCCTTCATGTGGAAACCAGGCGGGGACTTGACAGTACGTGCTCCGACATTTCTACCTTCGATTGGACTAAGCTTCTAGGAATCGTAGGTCACACCGTGACGCTGTTGCACGGTCCCGAGCTCCAAGCGCATGCCCCGTCAGTCGGCACATCACTCTCTAGTTATCAGAACTGGCTCCAGCTGAAGACAACGCGTACAGCTTTGCCGCCTTTGCACACGGCATGGGAGATCAATACGGAAAAGCGGCATCTGGGGGTTACCGCGCTGACTTATGGGCTCGGCAGACTCATGTGAGAGAGTTCGCTCAAGTTATAAGTACGCAAGAAGTTACTAGATAGAAGATCCTGGACGCCTGCGGTCTTTGATACAACTACGGTTGTGCATCTTCGTTAGGCATAGTGCACGGAGGAATGTAGCTCTAGCAGGGACGGATGCCTATTTTGTTTCCTAAACAACTCCCTTCATATCCAAGAGTATGCCGAAGAGTGGAGCTACCTCAGCTGTAACCAGGCGCTTCCAAACATGCGAGTTCCGACAGTCCTCACATGTGAGCATGTCTACCCGGATACAACGAGTGAAGACCCTTCTGTTATGGTGGTCAGTCTGTTTTCTCCACTCCTGCTTTGTGCCATTTGTCTAAGTAAGGATGAGTGGTCTTGATCTTGATATACTTAGACAATTGACAACAAACGACAGGCATCGACATTGACGCTAGAAGCTGATTGGCATTGGAAACTGTTAGTTTATATGGCAAGAATGGCTTCTTCGGTAGTCAAGATACGACTACTTTCGGCAGCAGATTACTTTACTCTAACTCTGGCAGCAGTGTCCTCACGACAACCGTACAGTTTCAGCTTTCCTACAAAACACGAGAGATGGACTTCTCCACCATTACAAGTGTAACAGAACGCATCAAAGAGTCGCTAGCGGGTAGCATATTCGGCGATCGAAATCTAGCGTCGACCAGAATGTACACGGCGCAGGCCAACACAGAAGGCAAACTCGCAGGGGGATTGAAGTAAGAGCTTACACTTCATCCTCAAGTTCTTTTTATGGAGATACAAGCTTGTACTTGACGTTAGATCGAGGATCAGGTGGGAAATTCAAGTACTTTTTACAACAGCTGTGGTACAGTTTAGACATGCTCCTGCTCTGTGCGCGCCATGAGATTCGGAGAAGATGCACAGACCTTTGTCAAACCCAACTCTGGCCGCATATAATGAAGCTGGCGTTTAAAGATGCACAGATCTTTGTCAAACTATAATTTTTCCTATTTTCAGTTATAACGAAGCTGGCGTTATGGTGCAGGCTTTCATGCAAGCACCTGGCTGGAAGAGCTACGACTCAGAGGTTGGCACTAGCGCAATTCAGAGCTTCTGCTGTTCAGAGGCCAACGGCCTCAAATTTCGGCAGCAACTTTTTACGTATCTTCAGACCGGTATCAGCTCCGGTAGCAATAACGCATTCGAGGCCTTCGAACCATACATGGACACGAAAGACACGAGCTTCATCGATTTCTTATGACTTGAAGATGCAGTTTAGAAGCGTTGCCGCGGATGGAGCATCGGGGGAGGAGGCAAGGACAAGAAAATATCTGTCACGTGCAAGTTGAAAAATGTCCAACTGAAGACGTCTCCCTGTCGTGTATCCAGGAGCTTCGGAACTGTGTTGACATCAGGCAAGTCCATGTAAGTAGCTCCTTTCTTCAAAGCAAGCTCTAAAATCTTGGATTACAAGCCCACAAGTCCGATATTCCTATCGTGTCGAAGGCCTCCTGAGTGTCTGTTCGGAGGACTTCGTCGCCAGTTCTCAAACTTCCTGCACCACGGACGCGCCGCTCGAAGGAAGTCCAGCGGCGACAAACAACAATATTTATGCTGCTGGCAAGATCAAGTAACATAAACATCTCTTTTTTTTCACTGGCCAGCCACAGGCTTTTTGTGAGTCAAATTCTCAACACATAATTCAAATTTTTGCCCTATAGTATACTGAATCACAATATAATTTTTGACGTAATACTTGTGCTTGGTAAAAAATTCTCCTCCAATAGTACTTACACTTGTAGATTTCTTTCTCCACCTCACGCATCGGGACAGCTTTAACGAGTTGCTGGGAACAATGCTGGCGGAACGACATTAAGTGGCGCAGCCGCGACGCCGACTGCCGCGGAGCAGTTGTGCTTGAACCAAGACACATACTGTGGCTGCGACGCAAACAACTGCAAGTGGAACGCGCTCAACGGCTGTGTCCTTTCCGCAGGTACAGCGATCTCCTGCTCACAGTGCCCCACCATGATCGGGAAGTGTCCGAACGCTGCCTGCGCGGGATTAACGACAGCCTGTCTGTGCGCAACGAGCAGCATCTTTAAGACTTCCCGTAAGTCATCTGGAGAAGCATCTTGACACGTTTTCAAGGGGAAAACACGCCAAAGATGCTCTCCAAGATGAATTGAGGCAAGCTCTAACATGTGTGGTTGGGACAGTACGACCTTCAGCTGTCGGACAGGCGGGGTCGGCGTATCGTGTGCGAGCTGCGCGACTCAACCGCAGTGCATGCCGCCTTACATGTATGACGCGCAGATGGATAGAAGATTCATACATAAGTACAACAGCACTTATTATAGTAAATCTAAATCAATTATAAGTATTCAGGAATGTGAATACATCAACAGTTCTACATCCCTTACTTAAATCGATAGCGGATATCATATCAGCTATCGACTTGCAAACCAGCAAAAGCATGATACATGTTGGAAGGCTCAATATCTGAGACATAGTTCGGCACTAGGAATCCACACGAAATGGTCTTGCTTACCCTTTCTTCCTTTTTCATATTTGTATTTCTACCTTGCCTGCGACCCAGGGTGAAATTCGCTTGTCGATATTGGATATTTCTCTCCAGTTTTCCGAGACTGTCGCTCTCGCGAGCACTGCAGCCACCAAGGCCTGGGCAACTGTTCGCTGTGCCGATGTGACAGGTGTGAACCAAGGCGAAAGAAATGTCGCGGCTACACATCGCATGCAGGGCGAGTACCTCCACTTCGATCAAGTCTCCTTGCCAGTACTTGTGAATTTGCTAGATAGAGATTGAGATCGATACATAGATTAGTCATCTGCATAGACTCAGAATAAGCACGTTTACGTCATGCAGCCAAGCTTCTATTCGAATGCCAAATCAAAAGTTGATTTCTTATTTATGTAGCTCTCTAGTTCAGTGCCCCCAGAGAGGAGTCGAACCCTAAATTCCAAATCAGCTCGATGCCGTTCCGAACGCAGAAACACGGTCCTGTTGGCTGAAAATCCTCGCGGATTCTCTCTTTGATGCACACGGCCTGGCCTTTCCCGGTGTCGACCACGAGTTTGTGTTGTTAGACTCGGTCCCGCCGTACTTATCTAACTTCGGACCCCGTGTCAGTGCCAGGATTCAGTCTGCCGATGATGCTCCAGACGACGACAAATTGGATACCGAAGTCCAAACGCACTTGACTATGGTTTTCGCAGAACCAGTTCTAGTTGATGTCATGTCGCTCACCTCCTTGCCCTACTATCGAAGAGCAGACCACCCAGACCAAGCGCAATACCACACCAAGCTGCCCCACGCAGAGATCCGACGACAGGGCACGCACACAATCAAGATTGAGCTTGTGACGGTACTGAACACGATCCTGTGGGAAATACCTTACGTTCTGCACATTCCGGCGGCTTTGATAACGGACTTAGCTGGGAACACTTTCGGAGGCATACCGTGCAACGACGCACTCAGCGTTGTGTCTACTTGTTACGGGGCGCCGACCGAGTGGCATTTCATGATGAAGCGAAGGGAGTACGCTGCCCCCGCTACAGCAGAGGCCGCCTCGGAAGCTGCAATTACTACTGATGAAGTACCTACAATTACACCAGTGGTCTCCAACTCACTCATGTCAAATTGAATTTAGATCAAAGCGACGACGATACTCATCGTTCTTCTTCTTCTTTGACGTCATGAAGCCAAAAACAATATCATCACAGATTATTCTCATTGCTGGTCTGGCTGCTGTGATCATCCTGTTTCTTGTGATTTTGTACTGTCTCGCAAGACACTACCGGCGACATCTCGAACGCAACGAATATCAAGTTAATCCGACGATTCATTTTTCCTCTAGTAAATATCTTGCGGAAGAGCGTCGACGCTCGTACCTAGACCCCGACATGCCTGGCAACGGGGTGTGGAAAAATCTTCCGACAAAGGTTGCGCCATCGGACGCATACTTGCAACCACCGAGTACCGATCCGTCCTTCCGTTCGGGTTCGCCAGCGGGATCCGGCGTGGGCAGCAGCAACCCAGGCGGAACGCCGAGCGGGCAACGTGGTGCTGGTGGCATGTTTTTTGAAGCCAACTTCAACTTTCCTTCTGGAGTCGGCGGAACGCCGGCGGGCGCAAGACAAGGCAGCAAAGTGAGTAATGGAAGCGGGCCGAGTGGTGGTCCCGCTGGAGGAGGCACTAGCCAGAGAGTGCCGGGTGCGGGGGGAGATCCTGCGAACAACGGCCCGCGTCAGGCGGAAGCAGAGGGAGAGGAGCGGACTAAACTGAACTGGCGAGCGGCAGCACGCGCTGCGAGGGCTTTCGAGCGTTCGTTCATCCTCGGCGGGGGTGGCGATAAACGGCTGCATCGTCGCGCGAGCGCACCCGGAGAAGGCGCTGCACGCGATGCGCGTGGTAGAGGCGGCAATAAATCTTCGGGAGTTTCTAGTTCAGAAGATGATACTGGCAGAGGACGGCGAAGCGGTGGCTTCTTTCGTAGCTCTGCGCCTGGATCCGGAAATGCAGGCGCCGGTGCTGGTGCACCAACGTCGCCGCGAAAACAGCCGAACAGTGGTAGTGCACAACAGCAGCAGCAGCAGAGCGATGCCGCAGGCGATCAACAACAGCGCGCGTCGTCGAATCACGCGGGAGGCGAGCACCAGCGAGGTCAAGGTAGCAAACGGAATTCCGGGGCAGCTGGAGGAGCGGGGGCGCAAGCGGGTAGCGCGCCATCGGGGCACCAACAGCCAAGCGGTTCGAGACATCGCCGTGCAAGTACGGGCGATGTGTCTCAGGGAGGCGGAGCACAGAGTGGTCCATCAAGCAAGCAACAAAGTACTCCCGCTGGTGGCGGCAGCAAAACAAACAACGGAGCGGGACAGCAGCGGCAAGGAGGCTCTGGTCAGCAACAGCCAAACGCAGGAGGACAGCAAAAACAGCAGAAGCAACGTCGTGCTTCTACTGGCAATGCGGCAGGCCCTGGGCCGAGCGCTGGAGGCGCCAAAAACGAAGCGCCGCCAAACCCCACCTTCAAGATCCCCCAACATCCGGACGACCCAAACACCGCCAAGCACACCAAAGAAGTGGAGAGTATTCTGAAGGCACATGCAGGAAAGAATTAAGGTTTACCGTAATTCATCCTAAGAAGCATCATTACGAAGGGGCAAATGCGTTAAAGATGCTTTTGAAGATGAATGGAAGTCAGCTCTAAACGAACGCGGAAGAGAAAAAGAAGGTACTCCGAGATCTCCAACTCAAATATCATCCAGACAAGAACGAGGAAAAATTCGCGAAAACCGTTTTTCAATTTGTGCAGGGCTCAAAACCGTGGTTTTTACAAGACATCTAGGACAAGAAAACGTATCATGTCGCGAGGGCTAGACAAGAAAACGACCCTTGCTCCCGTCCTACTGCGCATCTCGACCTTCTACTCTACTACCCTCCTTCGCCTATCACTATCATTATGTCTCTGGAAGTTCTTGCAACATTTTTTCTCGATTCGATTCTTGTCAGTCAATGAACGTCAAATTGAACTCTTTTTCATCGTTGTAATTCTTCTTCTCTTTCTCTCTTGACATTCTTGGTTGTCGTGCTTTTATCCTTGTCTTGCAATCTTGATTGGGCTGCGTAGCATGAAAGCACGAACGACGAAGCAGCACCAGAAAGTCTTGCGATCTTGTTGCGGTTCTTTTTCTTGATTGATTAAAGTGGTAGTGAAAGTCGTGGTTGCCAAAGCGTCCGCACTACCGTTGAAGTTGTAAGTATCAGTGCTAGAAAATAGAACTGCCAGCCAGTGGTGTCTTCGCTCGCTGTTTCAACTTGCTTCAAGTAATCCATGAGTACTTTTTATCAGAGCTGCTCTGAATCTCAGCAAGCAGGCTGCTGTTGCTCTGATGCCGACCCTTTCTGCCTTCTAGAAGATGATCGTAACTCTAAGTACTAAACAACGATCCTGCTCCCTGGTATTGTGCTCTTAGTGAAAACGCCATAAGGTGGTAGTTCGATCAAACCCTCTTTTTGCGATCCGCCTCGCATTGCACAAGTTCTTCCACGTGACGCACGTTGTGTCCTCAAAAAATATCTGGAACGACATAGATTAGTAAGACTACTTGGTGATTTTTTTGAACTATGAGTATAATGGATCAATGTCTCAATTTCTATCTCGTTATTTGTCTGTGTAAGTAAATTCAAGCCGATCATGTGCCACAACAATGACTTAGTTACAGCGCGATTTAGTCGCTACAAATTTTACCAGGTGATATTCTACTTCCTCCGAACTGAACACGATATTTGATTTGAAAATTAACAGGAGAAACATATACATAATTTAAACATATAATAGATATATAATAAATCGGTGATGAATTGAGATTGACTCTGGAATCTATTATTAAGCTATAATTTTTCATCTTTCTAAGGTGCAAAAACTGTAACGCGCGCGCGCGCGTTACGCGCGCGGGTTACGCGCGCGCGCGTTACGCGCGCGCGTTATAACGCGTTACGCGCGCGCGCGTTACGCGCGAAATAAGGCGCGCGCGTTACATGCGCGCGGCGCGCG